TACCTATTCATGATAATAATGACGTTCTAATCGTATCCTACAGGCAGATAGTTTATTCTTAGTTATCATTGCGTCACCCGTTGCTGTTTTTAATTACAATTTCTCAAAATTATAGAGCTGAAGAGTTTGTAACGTTGAACGAGCTAATCTCTAAAACTACTAGACCGACTTGCAAAAAAATTGTATGTTGGATAGTGAATTTATCAAACAATGCATAACGCTACGACTAAGACAGAAGCAGATTAAAATGTTGCAAAAACGGGAAAAAATATTCCATTTGAGATCTTACGTTGTGTTCGCTGTAACACAAAAATCGTGTATGACGGAATTGTTTCCCTTTAAAAGTTCTCTATAAAAGTCCGCGGGAGCAAAGCCTATCTTTTAAGGTTGACGCACTATAATCCTCAAATTGACGCGAGTGATACCGCAGGGCACCTCTAGTGAACTAAATAATTGTAATGATATTACTACTAAATTGTGAATAATACAAACCCACATATTTAACAAGTACGTAGTGTTTACGCAGGTTATGTGTTTTGTATACTGCCTACTAATACGATTTGACTAATTGCGCAGAGAATATAACCCTAATTGAGTACAGAGCAATACATAGCTGTAGTTCACGGAGTAAGGAATTTACGATATTTGATTCGAAGTGAATATTAGAAAATAATATTAATTACTCGTGCATAACAGTGTCAAGAGTTTGCAATAGTGTAGATAATTGGTGAACGGTGTTTCTGCGTCACACGAAAACAAAAGGAAAAATGAACTCTATGCAAGTTCCTTATAAAATTAATTGAACACGACTCGATCAGCTCGTTAATTAAAAGATTATAGACTCGTATGATTGGAACTACATAATTATCTCGACATATACTATATTCGTTTCATATAAGAGGGGAGGCGGGCAATGGTTTTTCCGTACAAACGTCCTCGACCGATTTCTCCTTGATTTTTATCACTAAAGAAATCATTTTCACACACATAAGACAAATAAATAAATATTTCCAACACTCACACCAATTAGCCTAGCCTCAAAGTAAGCACTGTAAGGCTTGTGTTATGGGATACTAGGGTAACGGATAGAATACATATACTGTACATTTGTACATATGTAAGTATATTTATATAGAAATACATATATACAACATCCATGACTGGAGTAAAAATGCGCGTACTCATCACACAAGCATCTGCACCCACCGGGATTCGAACTCGCGAATCGGCGACACCATGAAACCCGGCGTACAAACCACTCGACCACGGTGGTCGTCATAATTATAATTTTACTCGTTCTATGCTCCTATTTTCGATAACTTGTGTTTCATAGAAACTAGAAGTCCTCAAATATGCCAAAAATAAACAAATTTTTAAGATTGAATAAGCATTTACAAAAAAGCAAAATAAAATAAAATTTAAATTTAAAAAAATCTTTTACATTTAGCAAATTTTCGAGGAGGAAATCGTCGAGAGCCAAACCTCGAATTTTGCAATTCTTAGCAAAATTTAAACCAATAGTTTTTTGAAAACCCCATTTCTCAAATGTCTCCGCTCGCTTCCGCTCCTAATGATCATATTCATGGTTATAACAAAAACTTTAAAATTATCTAATATTAATATCGCTTTGCTTTAAAAAAAATAATTGATAAGTTAGAAATTAAATGGATTTCAATTGAATATTAAACTGAAGAAATTATTTCTTTTGTTAAAGGTCTAATCCAATTAGGTTTGGGTGGTCTAAAAAACTTAGCATTAACATTTCAAGGTTTCATTCAACAAACATTCGCTTATCTCTTATTTACTAACGATAACGAAGGCAATATAAAAGTTTTTAGTTACCACTTTGGTTTGACAGATGAAATAGAAAAAAATACACAAGATAAAATTACATCACATAGTCGGTAGCATGGAAAAATTTACTCCCAAAAATCCAAAATTTAAACAACAACTATAAACCAACAATTTTAATAGAAAGAATGTTTTTTTGTGGATCATAAATAACATAAAGTTAGTATCGCCAAGGGAAGGCAATATGGAAAATAAAATAATTTGGATTATAAAGGATAATTACGATACAAGTTAGTATGAAACTTTAGACCAATTGCACGGATGCTAGATTCATCAATATTTTTTTTAAAGATTTTAGTTGATAGAGAGAACAAGTAATGGAAATAAAACACAATAACCTGCGAGAAGTTGCGTAACACACGAGACACGAGGATCCGTCTTTATTGAATTACACCACCGCGTTATAGCAACCAGCCAATGGCTGGAGATTACGTAAGTGCGTCATTAACTATCGATAAACACCCTATAATACAACAAAAGAGTGGACGCTGATTCACGGACGTTATAACTTAACAAAGGTTTCATTTAGTACCGAGTAAATCCATTGTTTTTATAAGTTTAGATCAAATTCTGAAGTAAGAAAGATGATGATTTTTGCATTGCATGTGCACACTTTTGGAACTTTAGGATTTTATGTTTACTTTCAGTCTACAGACCAGGGTTTGCATCAATATTTTTTGCAGTATTTGACTTGGCGAGTTTAAGAGATGTGATTAAACTATTTTGATTTCACTCATATTTTAAAGATTGTTTGTGAATTGTGAATGAATGAATATGTGCGTATTTAAAATTTGAGGTCAAACTGCATACATAAGAATTTTATTTTATTATTTATATCATCCACCTTATTGATTCAAATAATTCTTGAACTATGCGAGATAAAATTATACATACATGTTAGTAAAACATGAAAAAATTAGAATCAAAATATTATTGTTCGTAAAGGAAATCAGTAACGAATACGTGATCTCATTCAGTCAAAATAATATTGATTCCCATCCCACCTGACGTTAACTAACTTTTTGAATCATTCCGAGTAAAGATTTTCTCAACTTCTAAGAATCAAATACATAACAGAGTCGAAGTCAAAACATCATTATTATATATTATGTATGTAGAGAGGCACACATACTACGTAGTAAATTATACCTCAATGCGTAGAGGTCACCATAGTTATATAAAATACAAATTAGGTACTTGGTTACCAGTTCTTAGAAAAAAATTAATACAGATATTTTCATGGCAGTTAATTTATATCGAACCCGCTAGTATGTAACATAATATGAGTACTTAACTCAAATATATGTATTTGCCTGAGCAATATAATTATAAATCACCCAGACCATAATGATGTCTAAACATGTGTAATGTAAAAAAGTATTCAACATTGAAGGTGGGCCATAAAAATGTAAGTATTTTCAACAAAAATAAGCATTGATAAATAATTATGGATTGCAAAATTTTGCTAATTTGATCTCATTTCAGAATTTGACGAACATACTGAACTGGAGATAGATTTATTTATCTTTCCCATAACTACACCTTGACCCATAGAAGAAGTAATCCCTACTATACTGTATTACCTCGACTATCTCAAATTTGTCATAGCTAAGTTGGCTCTGACTTGTCCAAAATTAAAACTCTAGGTATTATATTTTGTTATATTATGGTGCTAAACCATTGCCTGTACCATTTGTCTCCAACATTCATACTGGTTGACTGGTGTAGAATACCTATGGCATTAAGTCTGTCCTTTGCTTATGTGTGGCAATAAAATTCAAATAATTAAAATACCTAAACAAGTATTGCGATTATGTTTAAATTTTTTTAAGCTTATTATTGCGATGCTAGTTTATTACCTACGTTTCCTGCAATAGTTTTAGATACTACAAATTTAAGAGTTCTCAAAGCAATACCTATTATTATTTTCAACATTTATTTAAATGGATGATCCCCCCAATAAGTATAGAAAGGATAAATGAGGAGCTGGCAAACAAAATGGTATAATTACGCATCTGGTCAAACTACTTTTATTTTTACAGTCCGAAAGTTTTGGCCCCGTTGAGTTCCAATCTCAAATAATTTTCAATCAAAACCTCCTAAAACAGAGTTAAAATTACTATATTTATAAATTAGAAAACCATGCCAAAAGCTCACTGGAGGTATGTCAATCGATTTTATACAGCTCCTGTAAAATTTTATTTTATGTAATTAATATAATTTCAGGTTTGACATCAGGAACTTGGTTAGAGATAGAGCTTAATTAGGATAAGCGATTCACGTTCCATTGCACAGGTCTGCAGCTACGGGTATCTAGTGACTAGTATGCGTGTGTACTGTTAGCCTTGACGCGACGAGTGGCCTGCCTTGATTGTTGTTTACTACCGGATGGTTTGCGATCAGTTTTCCTATTTCCGAAAGAGTTAAGATTACTAATGTGGACAGGTACGGTGTTACTACAAAAAAGTACGACACGGTTTCAAACCTCGTTTAGGCAAATTTTGTATGATATTTCTTCTTTAACTCGTCTTGAACACGCATGACTTTTTTGGTGGTAATGAGGTTAGAGTTACATTTTTTTAAAACGCTATTCGCTCTCCCGTTTGGTCTATCGCTTTGGCAAACGTTGACGATTATTTTGAATAGAAAATGGGCGAATAAATTTTATTATGTATCTCTTTTATTAAATAATTAAAAGGGCGATGATGATGGAGTTGATTTGCTTGATGCTAGACTGGTGGTTATGCAGGCAAAAGCATTTCTGGTGTAGCCAATACTTTGGTCCATCGTATACTAAACTTAAAGAGGCAAAATATTCTTTAAAATAATATTCCGAATGCCCATTCAAACAAAAATCGTAATCGCAAATTATTATAACTGTATTAACATGTATCAAATACAGTTATAATAACGTATCTACCAATACAAGAATTTAAAATAAACATTCTCATAAAATTTACCGTAAAAGCTAATGCAGTGTTATAAACACAAGTGCAAAAACTGCACGAGGTCACAATCAACAAAGCAAGGCCGTTTGTCGAACATTGACAAGATTTCGACCAATGCGTAGAATAATACAGATTTGTTTTTCACTAGTTTAGCACCACAGTGTAGAATTACAAGAAACAATGAATATCATAATAACTTACCTAAATATTCTTTGATCCATTTCTTTTTTGGAGGTGGTCTTGCGATTGTTTCGCTCTTTTCCTCTTTTGTAGGACTCGAATAAGTGGAGGTGGATGGCTTTGCGATTTCTGGCACACGGGGCGAAGCAACCAATGAAGTGATCACTTGCTGCTGCTGGTAACCGTAACCGTTGAATCCGTTTCCATGAGCGTGGAATTGTTTGTACGCTTTCAGCGTTATCGGTATCGGTTCGACAATGCTACCGTATTCTGTTTCCCTGGTATTGAGGGCGATTGTGTGGAAGGTGTCGGCGTAAAAATCGCCTGGAGTACCCATCGCGCCGAATAGTTCCGATTCTGCTCTACGCATTCGGTAACTGGTAGTGCCCAGATTCACTTCGGTGGTTTCCATAAGTAAACCCATTCTATGATGGAACGAAACGTTTGTTAACTAAAAGTTTCCATTATTGTTTGTGCACTAACTACGTCCTGTTCTTGTCCATTTCAACAACTTTGATTAATAAAAATTTACACTAGAGTATCTTTACTATTGGATCCTAAAGTTATTCAATCACTATTTATAGTCATTTTCACAGGTATAACTTTATTTACAAATTTAATCTGAAAGTATGAAATAGTTTTTTAGCAGTTGCGTTTGCGGGATCGTCGGTCGTAAAAATATAGTCGTGCCTTTAATACAGATAGTTAATACATTTAGGTCAATTTTGTTTTTAGATACTAATGTGATTTAATTAAACTTATTAATTTATTATCATGTGATTAAATGAAGCGGCCATCCTAGCCCCAACAGCCGGAACAAAGTTAGCGATCATGATTTTATTGACGAGCCTCACTCATTTCTTCGGTATCTGACTTATGCTCGAGTAAACAATTCATAATACTACAGTTGCCGAACCAATGACTGTTTTAGATATGATAAATGAAATCAATAAGAGGTTGTCTGAAACCTACGCACAACATATTTGCAAGAAAGAGACAAGCGTGTGCGAACAAAGAAACCGACGAGAAACGGCGATGAAGATAGCGAAGTGAGGCAGAAACGCCGCCGCGGATGCGCTCGCTGGACGGCGCGGCGACCGGCGACGGTTCGAGGCGCTCAACAAGTGAAGGGAGGGCGACGAACGCATGGCATGGCTCGCCGGCACGTGCAGTCTCCTCGCCCCTCACACTCCGCCGCGCCACGCGCGCCTCACTGACAGTTAGCTTTACCTCCTACAAAATCATGCTAACCTAGTACAACGGTCGACTGAATTGGCAGACATAGTGGATTTTAAAACGGCAAACAAAAGAAACAAGATGTTCCAAAGAAGTAGTCGAGGATTTTTCAAGTTTTTAAAAAAAAAAAATTAAACTTCTTGATATAATTCTTCCGATATGTGTGAAAAGTTGTTAATAATATGATGTCTAAATTCCTTAAGCAGGAGGAACTTAGTGATCTAATAGAAGGAACTAACAATGCTAAATCATTATAACAACAATCGAACAAAATAAAATAAATCGAGCAAGCAGGTGTTGCACATTTCGCTAGTAATATGGGGTATTGTTATCGGTTTAGTCAGACTAAAGCGATAGAGCGTACACGTGCTAAGAAGGCAACACCGATATCGTGCAATAACAAACGGCGAGAGTGAAACAACATTCAGAAACATTAACGATAACACTCTTTTTATACATAACAAAGAATCGAAAAATCAACGATGAGCTATTATACTTGGATATAAAGTCAAAGCAGAGAAAGATGAAGTAGGTCAATCTTCGGACTTTCATAAACTAAGGTCTCGGGCAGGCCTAGTTACGAGGCTAAGCGTACACACGCGATAGTTTTTTAAGCGATATGAACGACATGTGTCGATGTTTATATTACGTAAGTGATATATAAGAGATATATGATTAGACTGTAAACCTACTGGTGTCTATACTGGTAGAGCTCTACAATAATTGGTTTGTAAAAGAAATAAGATTTTTCGAGATTCTCATACGAACTGAAGCTTATGATTAATTAAACGATTCTTATAATTTGATTTTAGGTATTAACACATAAATTCTTACAAAAGCACCTGAATGAAAAACTAATAGTAACTCGAGATATACACTGTGAGGTAAAAAGTAAAACCATTAAATGTAACTAACACTAAATGATAGCAGTTTGAACAGATTTGGGACCTATCAAAGGATCTAACAATATGGAAGAAATAATTCTGAATAAAAAGTCAACTGAAGCAACAATAAAGGTACAAAAACACAAACCAAGTAGTCAGCCGATTGACGGTCACACAACACAATTGACAGTTTTGCATCATACAAACATAGGTACTTACACAGCATAGATTTCAAGACGGCATTCTGCAGTTGCGCAATAGATGTGCTTGTGCAATAAAATGGTATGACAAGGAGTATTTTCCACCAAACGACGACCGGGTGCAATGTACCTTACCTTACAAATGGACGTATTGTGACAATGTATTTTACGAGTATGGTGTATCAACTTAGTGTGAGAAGTCATCAGAGATGCATTTTGAGAAATGCCTGTCGTATGAACGTTTGAAAAGAAAGTAATAAAAAAAACATTTAATAACAACGTAAAGACAAACAATAATATCTAAACATGATTAAAAACTAAGATAGTATTTTCTTGAAATATCAAAATCATATTCAATGCAAGTATAGAGCATTATAATTATTATAGATTTGCAGATCAAAATAAATATAATTCAAACATCCGTAAATAGTTACGAATTTTAGCGAAACCGAATATTAATATATTTTATAGTAATCTCTATAGTACTGTCAGTAATACAATAATATGAATCATAGTTAAAACAAACACTGTTTTTTTTTCGTTTATGTGATAGCAATGTTTTCTACTAAAATTATAGCCAATATGACCTCAAAGAATTATTTAGTATTTTGATTATTTGAAAGAAATATATGCTACTAAAATTATAGCCAACAAGAAATCATTTTTTGTTTTGTTTTTTGATTATGTGATAGCAATCTTGTCTATTAAAATTAAAGTTAACACTTTGCAATATATAACGTCTAAAACAGGTGCGTTAGAAAATTGACTTTTTTTTTAATTTAACATGAATCAAGCTTATACTAAGCGAGCGTCTCGGGACTTACTAGTTTTTGGTAACCATTTCTGTGTGAGCCCGATTAGCAAGATTGCAACAAAGAACCATTACTAATATGATATATCCAAATCAATGAATGGTAGGCTTTCATTGCCAAAATTATCTACAAACATTATATCTATTTTGAAATGCAACATAAAGTAAAAGTAGAAGATATAAGAAACCAACTTAAAAAAAATATCAGTAGCAAAATATTAATAAAAAAATCTAATTCATCCGAATAAATTAATTTGAGACTATTACCGCGGTGTTACAAAACTGATTATGTACCCTGTAGTACCAATCGCTATAAAACTTGAGACGAAATCGACGAAACTAATAAAATATTTCATAACACAGTTAAGTACATTTGTGTGGATTAGATATTCTTCAATATTTGTTCGAATCATGTCTTTATTAGAAATCGCAAAAAACGGCAAAAATAAAAATAAATTGACGACAAAAACCCGATAGCAAAAGACCAGTTTACTGTTCAAAACGGAAAATCAGAAACATTGCAAAAAACAATTTGCTTACAAGGATGACGTTGTTGGAAGTGTTAACAGGTTTACTAACGACATTATTTTTTCAATTAAGTAATTACTCATTAAATAAGGAATTTTCTAGAAGATCATGCGCACTATAAATTTCAAATAACAAATGAATATCACGGTAATGATTTAGCACCGTCTGAAATTGTTAGTGATCGATAAAGAAAAAACCCTGCGCCGCCGGTGGAAAAAATTAAAAACATTCGAAATAAAGAGTAAGCATTTGGTTACAAAAAACATTTAAAAGAAAATAAGAAAAAAATCGTTAGGGAAAATTGTAGCCCTTTAATGAGTAAGAATGTCAGTTTATTTAACGAACAATCTATATATCAATAAAGACGAAGGTTACCTAGACACAGATAGGGTATGATTATGAAATACATATTTTATTACAAACAACAAACTGAATATGAAAATAAACCCATAAACTGTAGCGATGAAGTTATGGAAATCGAATAAATCGTGTAATAAAATTTAAGGAACTGCATAACGTTTAGTCAATGAATGTTGTGGTATTATCCGAGTGTGGTGTACCCACGGTAAATAATGTTAGTAGATTTGACGGCGACGGCTACGGATGGCATGAATCGCGGAACTTTGGTCGGTTCCGCTCGGTCCAGCACCCTCGCAGGGTGGAGCGGTGGCGGCGTAGTGTCCGGCCGCTAACTGTGTTCGGCTGCACCGGATCGAGACCGCGTGTGCACGTGGGGTGCGGCGCGCAGGTGCCGCCGACCTCGCGCTATCTCGTCTCGACACTCGAGGCCACGATGATAACGCACGCTATTTTAGACCGGCGCCTTCAGCTCGGCGCTCGCGATCCTCGCAAACTCAACCGCAATTACCACGAGTTCCCCCTTTGACGGTATCCACGGAATACGGCGAGCGCGGCCCAACTCACGCGATCAGTCACGACATCGAAGCTTCGCGATAGCAATGAACGAGGAGCGAACGCGGAGCCGACCGTCGTCGACGTAATTCGCTCGACGACTGAGTGGCCGCCGAGGATCGCGGACGGCACCGTCTCGGAGGAGGGCGGAGGAGGAGGCGGGAGGAGCGCGACCTCCGGAACCCCGCGCCGCCGATCGTCGCGAGTGAAACCGACGGCGGACGAAATTGCGAGGGGCGAGAGCGCGGGGGGCGCGCACGCGGTCGAGCGCAACGCTCACCGCTGCATCGCTCTCGAAATTTTACATAATGCTGTATGAGCGTCGCACTCGCTCGCACAACACGCGAAATGAGGTCGCCCCGAAGTCGAACGAGGAACACCTACAGAATTTAAAGAACTTCGCACCGATCCTTCGGCCATAGGTGATGAAACGGCTGCTTTGCACGCAGATGACGTGTTCTGGTGAGTCGGTCGGCGACGGAGTCACTGAACCTCGGCGATGAATAAGGTGAATGGAACATTGCAACCGAATCGAGTGCACAAGCAGTGCGAACCGACGTAGAAGCAGACGGCCGAGTAGCGGACTCCGATGCTTATGTACAATGCAACACAAGTCACGCAGCTTTCTAATGAAACGTGGCCACCGATTGTTATACAGCTCATTTTGCACACATTAGAACGTAGGTCATCTATACGCACATTTAAAGAACCGGTAGTATGATTATATCAATACGCATCTCAAGCTAATGGTGATTCATCAACAGAATACTTTTGTGCTTCCATGGTTAATGTAGTTTCTTTGTTCTACTTCCCCTCTGCTGTCTCGGTTGACATACTGTGATTATTGCGATACAAAGCATTAATCAGAGTAATTTCATCATTACGTCATTATCACTAATCTTCCTAATAGGATTTATATTTGTTATGTTTATGCGCCGATACGTCCAACGTTGCCCTCCTACGCGGCGCGGCGGGCGCCCCTGGCACGTGTTAACTCTATCTTTGCTACTACATACCTCTACCTACTCACTATCTAGAACACACTTAGCAAAACCTGATTTGAGCGAGAATGGTCGAACGCTGCTAAGCGTAGTAAACCCTGAACTCTATACATCGTTCACGGAAGCGGAAAAGTGTCTAGTGCTATGATGTTTTAAAGTTATAGATAAGTCCTACACGCTTCTAGTTTGGCAATACGAAAATCAGGTAATTGTCCGACTTGTATTCAGTTGGGCTCGCTCTCTCGCTGCAGCTACACTTTGCTACAACGTGTAAATATTTTACGTTTTTCCAGACAAAATGCCTATAGTGTTTTTAGATAGTACACAAAATACACGGGAACTGTTAGAGACAAGAAAAACGTGTCATTTCATTCGTAAGTACAGTTTTAAAGAAATTAATGTGATATTTTTAGTAATAACTTACTTTGACAGTTGCTGACGCCATATACACGTGAAGGCTGAAGAGCGGGATGTAATTGTTTTATGAATGAGAGTGAAGGAGACTACTTTAGGGCGCTCTATTGGCGGCTGTTGCTAAGGAAAGTTGGAGCGGGGGCTACTTATGCCATTTTACAATGCAGTAATGTTGGTGTATGACCTGTCTATATATTATATATCACTGGTCTAGTGCCTTTTTGTTTTGCCTATAACAATCTGATCCATTGTAAAAAAAGTCGTAGACGGGGAACCAACCTAGGTATCTGGAAGATATTATATATTAGGTTTCAAGCTACAACCCATCTGTCATCGATTGAGGAAACAATTTCTCCTAATGTGAAGACAGCAAAATAGGTAGTAATTTCTTTCGCTTCGAGCAAGTATTAATGCGGTTGAGGGGTGATTTTTTGGAGTGCAACTCACAGGAACACATAAGTGGGTGCAGGTTCCGGCGAGGCAACTGAGGGAGGCAGGCAGGCAAGCAGGCGACGCATGCGTGCGGCGGCTGACCTTGGCGCGGTGCAGCGTGCAGCCCGCTGCCCCCCCCCCCCCCTCCCCTCCCGTCCCGCCCGGGGATCACCGCACAAACACCTCCCCGCACCTCTGCACCTCTTGTAACCACACCTGCCGGTTTAGCAGGTTGTTGCGACCTAGCATTGTGCCTAGATTCTATTTCTGGATTGCAGGGTCCTGATTAAAACCCAAAGCTTCTTCAAAAGTTTATAATTTCCGACTTCATTATTAACAGCCATTAATAATAATCTATAGCTTGTAGCTAACACTTGCAATTGCAGAGCAGCAGTCGTTTGTAATTAATAAAGGCACTTCTTTAAGTTAAAATTTTAAAGTGTTGAATTTCCTTAAGCTACGCTTTAGTTAGCACTTGCAATTGCAGAGCAGAAGTCGTTTGTAATAAATAAAGTGTTCAGAGACAGGGTATTCGAATTGGAAACATTGCGGGGGGATACACCCACCGGATGTCGAGATATGATCCGTCTGACTCTGCGTTGTGTGAAAGCTCTCTGGTTGATACAGTTGATATCAACAGTATTTTATTGTAAATCAATATAAAAAAATATGAAAATACATTGTAATATATATGAACAAAAATATGCGCCAAGCTATCGCCGTTAAAACTCAGCGAAGAATTCTGTTAGGTCTAGGACAAAACAAACGTATCTATGAATGCCAATTTGACTAGCTCAAAATCATAGAGGATATTTTTTTACTTTATCATTAGAAACACAAAATGCCAGTTTGTTCTGATTCGATTAAGGAACCGAATTCATTAGAAATTGATAACAGATAACGGTTTGAAGTACCGTTATCAAACTACCTAATACATAAAGAATATGTAAATTATTCCTTACACCCTGTATAGTCTTAAACTAAAAATATAAAATTCTAATAGGTACCATTTCTGTCTTCAACTTTTTAATTTCATGACGTTATTTTCTTCCCGTTATTTCTCAAGTTAATGTTTTCGATAATACGATACAGACAGACATAATGTATTTAAAATTCACCGAGGCAATGTTTTATTTCTGTTTGCGAATTATTTATACTTTCAATGAGAACATCTAACAAGGTATGCTGCGTATTTATGTGGCTTTGTGTGTCTCTACAGAAATCAGAACTTCGAAAAAGCTGTAAGCCACCGTGTCGCATGGATGTTTATTCGGCCGACCATTTTCTCGGTTGTCTGCAGTTCAATATACTATGAGTGTACGTCCTCAGAGTCCGCTCGCTGGCACTGCGCGCGAGGTCATGCGATCCCTTTCACCATTCTGCGAGCCCGGTACTGCCGGCGACCTTACATCGAGCCTTGATGATACCGATTGTTCACCGCACGCCTACAGCTCACAGAGGCCCTAGTAATTAAATAACTGACGTCCGACAGGGATTCGTATGCGTTTTATGACTATGAAGTCACCTTTGTGTTTTCCGTCGTAAAACACCAGGGCGAAACTGCTAGAGAATATAAAATAGTGCTTAGGTATTCATTTAAGAAAATGAATTTCTCAACTGGCCATTTGGCCAGGCGGGCCATGGCCGAGTACCAAAAAGTGTTTTTGTGAATATTTATAAATAAATTCTGGACAACTCACAAATGTTTGACAAACTAATTAAAGAAAAGAATGAACGATTAAAGAATAATTTATAAAGCTTAATTTTGAAATTTACGTGATCATGAGAACATGAGAATATAATTATTATTCTGGAGATTGTATTAAAGATTGATTTGTAACCATGATCTTGAGTTACCACAACAGTATTATACAAGAAAAAACCAAGTCAAAATATGTAGTTAGATTGTGAAATGTGTTCTACTGTAATAAAATATAAACTATGTCGTGTACATACTAGGCACTATCGTAAGATTGGCTTTGCATACTTTGAGACGACAACGAATAGGGGCTTTCTTAAAAAATAATATAAGTCTGAAAATTGTTCAGGCTGTATTTGTTGTTATATTGTTTTTGACTTTAACCAAACTTTTTCAGGTATGGATAATTTTACCGTATGGATTTTTTGTTGCATTCAGGTTAATTTACACTGAGTGATTCTAATACATTTTCTGACCGAAAACATCAATAGCATGAAGCCTTATTGATGGGAGCTACCATAAACCAACCAAATCTTACTCGACGTTTGAAAATCTTCGTAAATTTTATATTCAGTGAGAGAAAAAGGAACAAATGGAGTGTATGTAATTTAGCCAAAATGGCAGCTCTGTCGCACATAACGGATCGCGAACCGCGGCGGTACCAGGAGCTCATAGCCCATCAGGCGGTGAGCGTTGTTCGTTGATAAGGAGCGCACGATAAGAAGCAACGTGCGCCGCCGCTCGTCCGTCCATAATAATATGACGAAAGTGTTTGCCAATGTTTTCCAATCAAGACGCAGCCAGTTGTTTTTGTGTTCGTAACGAGTAGCCGTGCTATTCGTATTGGATATTATTATTAATGACATAGATTGTCGGGTCACGAAACTAAAGTAGATTTTATTGTTGCCGCTTTAGTTAGAAGTGGAGATCGACAGGTTTGATTTTTTTTTTTACATTAAAAAAAATACGTTGTAAGATTGGTAAATAAGTGAGTTATCTCTGATCACACTTTTCAAGTAACAAAGCCAGTTACAATTGAATTGTTAATGCATCTTGTTAGAGAAGCGCCAATAATTTAATTAACTTCAATAATGACATCCTCACATTCTTGAGACTTCCTAATATAATGGTTAGGTTCTAGATATACATTTAGATACCCACCCGTACTAGTTGTTTAGGCATACGACACGCCAAACAACTAACAATGAGTTCATCACCTATAGCGTAGGTAAGCGGAGTACCTACCAAACAATGACTAGGCACGCTTGCAGTTACACAATCACGCCTTGTGCTATATTTCTTATGGTAATAAACTAATATACTACGAACTTCAAGAGGAAAATGAAGTTACTTCAAAAGACGGACGAATTAATCGAACGAGGCGCAATAGTTAGTGCATTTGAATGCGTGTGCACATGTCCGCCACCCCCCCCCCCCCCCTGCGATACCCGGCGCGATCAGCTGACTGAACTCTTGAGCGCCCCTGCACGACTCGCCTCGTCATGCGTCATGCTTCAAACTTGACTAACACGCTCCACGTATACATAGTTTACCAGCCCTGCCATGCCACCCACTCGCACTAGAAATTACGTGACACGTAGAAGATAGTTTTACGAATGTAACATTTCGTCTCTGTGATATGTATGTATGCCTCGCCCACGTCCGCACATTTGTCCGACACGCAGATAAAACGACCGTGTATGCGTGCGTGGATGTAAGCGCTGTTTACTCACGTAAATGGGCAGCGTGAACCCTCGGATTATATCGGAGTTACGTTCAGTGGCGGCGCGAACGATGAATTTCAGGCTTCCTTTGTTTACGTGGGGCGAGGCCGGCCCGGGAGGTGGGGGGGGAGGGGGAGGCGGCGCGGCTGCGTGCTGTTCAAGGTCAAGAGCGTCGGGCGTCGGCTCGCTGCACCGGCGCGCCGGCGACTGTGGCGCTTGCGAATCAGCGCACGCCCAGGGACCGGTTTCACTCGTGACGTGGTAGCCGAGAGCGGGTAAACACCGTTCGCCCGGCGCCCCGGCCGCGGCACTAGCAAGCATATAGGACGCCACTTACCGGCCTGGAGACGCCTCTCCTGCAGCTCGATGAAGCGTGCCGCCTCTAGAAGCGTGTCGAGGAGGCTCATGTCGGGAAGCGGCACAGCCGCGCGCGGTACGAGCGCGCCCGCTGTCACACCGCGACTGACCACGCGCGCGGTGCGCTCTCACGTGGCCGCCGCTACTACGGGCCAATGGGGCGAGAGCGCGCGAGTCACGTGACCACGGTAAGCGGCCAATCGGAGCGCTAGTTGCGGCGACGTAGCACGGGGCGTGCGCGATCGATGCCATTGCAGCGACCAGCGATCGAATGCACGCGCCCCCGCCCGCACCTCGCCCGGTGACGCGGCAGCGGCACGCTCTACAAATACCAACTTTACGTGCACTTATGAACAATGATTTTGGATCGTAACGCTAACACATAACAAAGTTGATAGCTGAACATATGAGCCGGTAAAACTGCAAGCTTTGTTTATCTAATACTTTTCCTCTGTAATCTTTATTGCATCGATAAAACTGTAAAATGTCCAAGTATTGCTATACTAGTCCATAAACTCGACAGATATTGCACATTTTTGGTCTGCAATCTGCAACTCTACTACGCAAAAGAGCGTCTGCCACTGGGCACGTGCTATGCCAGCGCTAGACTTTCACTTCCTACTTTGACAATAACAAGTTGTCTGAAGGAATGTAAAATTTGCAGAAATGATTTACTAAAATAAAGTGAATGATGTAATTTATAAGAAACATTGCTGTAATGTAATACTGAGTTATCTTTTTAAGTATAATCGTCGTACAATAATGTTAAATTCTTGCCTAATATTTAAGTGTTAATCAAGAAGCCAATTATAAAAGTTATAGCAGTAGGTATACATATTTTAAAACTTAAACTGTGCTTTAGCTTTAGACGGACTAGGCCTTTATAGTTCCCCATTTGTACCTCCCGAATTTTTAGCAAGGCCACGACCTTGGTTAAAACGTGGCATAAACATAAGCTTCCGAGTAGGTAGCTAGACTAAACACACTACACACTTATGTACATAAGCACGCTAATTGTCTAACTTCCACTCCTATGGGAGTAACTTTCAACTTGACATTTGAATGACATTAAACTTACCTAAACATCAGCCACTAACCCACAGTGTCAGTTTCGAAGTTATCCACCTTTGTGGTTAAAGTTTGTAAATACCTTCCAACCCCCGTAGCATGAGCACCATAATTTACATTATATCACGTTTTTCATCGCGTCTAACTGTCAAACCCCATAGTAATTTCACAATTGAGCGTGAAAAATACGCGTTATAGATATATCATATCGCGGTGATCATGCTAGAGGGGCAAGTGTCCAAAAAGAAAGGTTATCCATTACATATTTTGATGGAAAAGTGTTATTAAGAAAGAAAATAAAATTAAGTAATCTACCAACCTAGCAAAGTTAAAAATGGCTCCACCCCACCTTTAGTCAAGTCAGCAACACATATCAAAGCTACCACAAAAATTACTAATTTCTTATCTAAACAATATAAAGCTTAGTCAGTTGGAGAATTTTGTCATTATTGGGTTACTTGACCTGTGGTTGTCTGGGCGAAGATAGCTGATATCAGTTCTGAGATATGGCATAAATAATATAATGTACAGACAGACAAGTAACCGCAAACTATAAAATGTTCTCATTAGATTGTGTATCGTATGTGAAGCAATTTAAAGTTCACAGTCATTTGTATACATTTATCACTTTTGGGTAACTTGATCTGTCACTGTTTATATACCCATGCTTTGCTAACCTGTGCATAATCCATTTACCCTCCAACGTGGAGTTCTGGAAATCTTAGTGTCTCTTTCTTTGATGTTCACATGGTTATTCGTATTTGCTATTTGTAAACTTGACATCCTTATCCTTATCAGGCTCTCTCTAAAGTCAAAGGAGAGACTGCTGTCATGTTAACAGATACGAAAAGCCTTGTGAAGTGCTAGGCATTAGTGTATACAGAAAGAGATATTTTCCCGTCCTTGGCTCGCCCCTAAACCCCCGCTCATCGGCTAGTTTTTAAAGATGAAGCTGCTCGAGGAACCTGCACTTAGTCTGCGATGATGATCATCAATAATAAGTTCCTTCTAGGATTCGAACCTAGGATAATAGGTGCTGTAAGTAAGATCACTACTTAGGTGCACCAACTATGTTGGCAAATATCCTTGTCATGGGTTATTCCCGTAGAATAAACATTTGTGTTATAAATAAGAATACCTTTAGCTATAAATTAAAATTAAACTCATCTATATTGACATCTCAGCATAGTCCATCCGTTGACCGGCCTTAATAAAATTCTCACTCAAAGCAAATGAAAAACCTTTATAACGACCTCCGTGGTAGAGTGGATTGCACACTTGTTTTCTTACTAGCCTTTTAGATATCAATGACGATATGTACCAAAAAGTTACTGAACATAATAATTCTTATTTTTGTTCGCGCATATCTCCGTTGTCAGTGGACCGATTTCGATTATTCTTTTTGTGTTTGTAGGAAGTTTGTTAGCGAGATGGTCACAATTTTGTGAAGATCAGATAAATACTTTCGGAGATAAATAACAGAACTCTTCACATACGAACAGTACTTACACATATCGTGTTTGGGTATTTTACGAAATATCTATATCTGATGTTACTTTGACTTATAAAAAGCGGAAAATAAAAATCGATTTCATAAAAACAAAACCACTAAAAATTAAGAAAATAATACATTTTCTTTAGTCAAATTAATATTTCGAGTCGGTGTCATGCTAACCAAAGTTGTAAATGAGAACTCAGATCTATCAGGCATGCCAATCGGTGTCATGACTCCAAATATTAATTTGACTTTTAAGAGAAAGTATAATAATTTTCTTAATTTTTAGTGGTAGTTCTTAATATATGTGTTCTGATAAAAAAAACTCGGGTTGTACCTTTGCCGCGCCTTTAGCCAATGACGAAAATCGAAATGACGCATGACGCTAATATGTCGAAAAGACGTACGTCATTTTGACGGATATTGTAAATCGCCTCTAACCGATCGCAGTTTGAACCCGTATCTACCTCATACATAGACGTGGTCCTAGTTGTACGCTATAAATGATAACTTACTAAGGATAGAATAAATTATACCACTAGTAATTTCCACGATTTATTTTCTTTTAACTGCTAGTAAAATATATACATAACATAACAATAATTGTGTTCAGGAGCTGCATTAAGGTTAAGGTCCGGTTATCAATCACAGTCATAATAATATGTCTTCTACATACGCTATGTAATTAAGTAAAATACAAGTACGTTTTTGTGAAAAATACTACAACAGCACTGCATCGATACAGTAAGTCCGCACATTCTAGGAAGGGATTTTCATTTGCTCGTAAATCTTTAATAACAAAATAAAGAAGACAATCGTTTGTACTTTGTCATTGTAAAATCAATTCCAATTGGGCAAATTACCCTTATTAGAATATGTAGACTACTGCAATCGAATAACGTGCACATTGATTGGTGAATCTTTGTCGTAACTATTGAGTTGGATTACAAAGCTACACAAACCATTAAATACATACATATTTCTACAGACTTAGACATAAATAATACATATAATGTTTACATTTTATTTTTATGTTGATCATATATACAGCAACTACCTTCAGTTTTGTGTTTTGGTAATAAGATAGGTACAAAAATAAAAAAATATTATTATATTTAGGTGCTTAACCCACCGCTGACGGGGAAGTGAGAAGCCATTGTCAATTTTCTTGTTCAATAATAACATAGATGTATGTGCCGTATCAATTAAAAATATTAAGTTATTAATGTTTTAAAATCATGATTTCCATTCGATTTATCGTGAACTTCGTCGTGTCGTGTCGTATACTGCGACAGTGATATTTATGTGTATTAGAGTAGGGTTGATGACAATCACGTTGCAACGGAAGTTAACTTCAAGTCGCAGACCGATTACTTAAGCAATAGGAACTTACGACCGCAAGGCAACTGAGTATCTTCAGAGTTCAGTTTATTCTATAAAAAAGCTATCAAATCAGAATATTTATCATAGTTTAGAACAGCAATGGAGGTGTTTTTAGGGTTCCGTACCTCAAAAGGAAAAAAACGGAACCCTTATAGGATCACTTTGATGTCCGTCCGTCCGTCTGTCAAGACCGTTTTTCTCAGAACGCGTGGAGGTATCAAACTGAAATTCAAATCTAATACTCATGTCTACTGTCCCTTGAAGCTGTTAAAAAATCAAAGTTCTAAGCCAGAGCAATCAAAAGATACAGCCGTTTATGCCGCAAATTTTCGAAATTCGTACGGGAATCAAAACTTTAACGTGAACTTAGAATCTTGAAATTTGGTACGAAGTAACGTCGTATAGTACAGATAAAGGAAAAATTGAGAATTTTTAGTTACATCATATAATAAAAATATTTTTGAGAATTTTAAAGTCACTACCTCTTTTCTCATGAACGCGTAGAGGTATTAAATTGAGTTTGTACAGAACCCTCGGTGCGCGAGCCCGACTCGCACTTAGCCGTTTTTTTTTTAAATATTATAGAGTATATGAGCTGACGGCCGACCTGATAGTAAGTGATCCCCGTCACCCATAGACACCTGCAATACTTGTGGTAATATTTTTTTTTGCAGTAGGTACAATCGATTCCGTAGAAACCGTTTGCATATCAGTTAGCAGTTGCAAGTTAAAGATAAAAGGTTCGCTTGTTTCGACTAGTTGGTCGCAAAATCGCAGTCACAGCTGCAAAAGTCATCAAAGATTTATTCACTTATCGGTAATAGGCTTCACCATACAATCAGCGGTGGGACAGGTGCCTTATACATAGATGTAATTTGAAAAGAAGACCTACATGTCTCCATATGTCGTAAACCTACAAAATAAGCTGTTGTATGTGCGGGCTAAAGTCCTAATTAGTTACCTAATTGTTATTACAGTACAGGCTGTCATAGTTCTTGTTGAATTTGATATTTTAAACTTCACTGAGAAATAATTTTGACACTTGCATCCGAACGAAAAGCAACTTTAACAGGGACTTATATTGAATGTCGCAAATAAACGACATCATTTCGTAAATCTGTAGCAGAAAATCTTTTAACGAGTCCCCTGAGCAATCAGAAGACTAGGGCAGGTTAAGTAGTAACTTGAAAGAAATCCATAGTATATTTGCTGTCATTTAATCAATTATAATTAGATATTTCCTATAGTTTCAAAAGGCTATCCTGTGGCAGAAAATCTTTTAACGAGTCCCCTGAGCAATCAGAAGACTAGGACAGGTTAAGTAGTAACTTGAAAGAAATCCATAGGATATTTGCTGTCATTTAATCAATTATAATTAGATATTTTCTATAGTTTCAAAAGGCTATCAGATGTGTTAATTATAAGGCAGCCGTTGATTCGATAACAAGTAATAATTTCACATTGCTAATGCTTTCATTACAAGGCATTGAAGTTCCACATACGTAATAAACTTGTATCCACTGCCGTTTGGACTGAAAATATCTCGCAGATATTTAATTTGTTCCAAATATTATCATCATTCTAACATCGTGTCTACGTCAAAACTGATTTGCTCTTTTTGAGAATTTATACGTTTGACTTTAATGTTTTACAGTTGAATTTATTTTTATTGCTTTATTGTTGTGTTTTTATGTTAACATTTGATATAAAATATATACTTATAATACCTACTCAGAATAACGTGGGCCACAAATTGTGTATTCGTTTATGAAGTAAATCATTAAGTATATCAATAAATTAATTAATTATAACATCACTGGAATCTCATGGCTCGTTTGAAGAAAGAACTTAAAACAAATAAATTCAGGGTCATCATTCATATGCCCCTATTTTTTGGTAAACAAATAGTGTTAGTATTTTTTAACTATTACCTGGCACTTCATTGACAAAATCACACATACTTTTCTACCGTACCAAATAACATTCGGAATTAATTATTGCTCAGCAACTAACTACAGACCACTAATATCTAATGCTTAATCACACAATACAGTAAATATTACGGTCGTATTTAATGTTACACTGACGAGGTGATTGACGTGCATACGTCAATATTCATGATAAAAAGTCTTTGTTGCTTCAATTTCTGGATTTAAGTTGGAACAAGTCCTAGTGTAATAATAAGCAGTATTCTGGTCTAGGCTAGTTACAGGAACTGTTTTGTGTTATTCGTTTTACTCTTAAGGTTTGACTTTGACCTGTCTATATAAAATCTAGGGCTTTCTTATATGATTTATGTTAATAGCTAACGTTTAAATATAAAGGAAATTTTATTAAGTTTAAAAATAAACAGTAAATCGATCATTACGTAATAAACACAAATAACATCATTTTTTACTGAATATATGTAAATGAAAACCTATTTGCAAGCAAGCAAGGGCTAAATTAGCCCATGTATCTGCAATATAAAGTTGATTACATATTTTTTTCCGAGGCCCGGAAGCAGGAGGAGCCTATTCCCTCTCACTTTAAAAAAAAGAGTTTAGTACAGTTTTTAGTATAATTTGGATTTTGTTCGAGAAACACTGATAATTGCATAGACCAGAAACAGCAAAAAGAATATTCGTTAGTGGAACATTAAACACGACCCTTTTTAAATACATCCTTTAACTAACTAAATACGGCTTTCAAACTTCTATATAAAGTTTGACGAAACTACAGTTCCGCTTTAACGGATAATATTTTTTCATCATTTATATTAATTTGTATTTTATCATTGATTTGCACCGAAAATTATATTAGTTGAAGGCACCTTGATAAACTTTTCTACAATACGTCACCCCAAACAAGTAATTTTTTATTGCAATCGAATTTATATGTATTAGATTAAAACAAAGTTAGTTCCTTTTGTGTCTAGTAGAGGCACTGCTGTGTAAAATTTCATTCTATGAATGGGATAACGTTTTGTATGACTGCTTTTACGATGCGACTAATCTCTGAAGCAGTGTCGATAACTCGACCAACTGTTTCTTTTTTCATATAATTAATGCTTTGCCATGTGGAGATAAAGTTCAATTGGCTACGAAATATTTTTCAATTGCACTAAGGAGTTTCGACTCTGTTGCAATGGCAATACTTATAGGTAGTGTGAAGAATACAGATGCAGAATAAAATGTTCGTTATTACATTTTGCAAGTATTACTTTATACTTAAATAAATTTATAATAAATAAATATTGTAATTTATTCCAGCAAGATATTATCCGCTGATTGGACTATGGATGGGTCAATAATATACAAAGTTGGAGTTAAGCCATTTCTCTTAACTGATATTTTTAATTATATTAATTATTGTAATAGACATAATGAGTATCACTTATATTATTGATTTTCTAACATTTTAGATATGTCATCGGAAATAATTTGATCTTCTCATAACTAAGATGAACTTAAAAAATAAGAAAGAATCAAATTTTCAACTTTAACAAAATGAATTCACTCTCTACGAAACATACACTTTTTTTTTAATTTTACTATTTATGCATAGATCGAGTTAAACATTACGGAAAAAAAACTATATTTACTAGATTTAATTTCACACACATTATATAACACACTCGCGTTAAAGGAAAATGGAAAATTAAAATGCTAATTTCTCTACAACTTTGTTGACCTTAGTTTTTTGAGAAGTTCATTAAAGATACTTATATAAATAAGGAACGACTACTAATCAATCTTTGATTTATTGCTGTAACACAAAAACAAAACACGCGAAATTCTCATTTCATACTGTTGCCGATACAAAATTTCAAACATTTCACTGTGAAACTACATGTATGTTATCTACAAACATAGTACGAGTGCCACTATTATATAGCAGCCGTACAGTTTAACATATAATACGACGCAATAAAATTGAACTAGTATTACCTATGGGTTACTACTGCTAACCTACGTACTTCACTCGGCAGGGCGTTGTGTTGACTCGGGAACGTACTGCGACATCACTCCGGGATGCTGCTACCCTGGTACCAAATAGGTTAATCAATATTGAGATTAATAACGAAGGAGCTCGAAGGCGCAGGTGGTTAGCGCATTCGGCTGCGATCGTTGAAGTTAAACAACTTTCGCAGTGGTCGGTCATTGGATGGGTCACCAAAAATCTTCTATCTCGAGTTCTTCCGTGCTTCGGAAGGCACGTTAAGCCGTTGGTCCTTGCTGCATCTGCAGTCTTTAGCACCAACCAATCCGCACAGGACCCTCGTGGTGGGTCATGGCCCAATCTCCCTATTCCATCACAGGGAAGGCCTTTGCCCCAGCAGTGGGGACATTAATAGGGTGATGATGATGATATTAATAACAGAACTACTTATATATAAAATCATGCTCTTCTTTAGAATATTTAATGTGTATTTGTAAAAGTATACTCATCAAAAAAGTCTACGAAACATGTTGTACATTTTTCAACTTTTGAAGATTATTACTATTGTAATTATTTGAACTACAGGGAACGTGCACAACGAAGCTTCTGCCGACTGTCGAAAATCCTAATCTTGTACTCTATTAATAATTAACATTGACATTTAATAATAATAATAAATAATAATAAAGCTTTATTGTTAGCTTAATGCTAATGTACGCACTGTACATGTATATTTGATCCTACCTTTTCAGGTGTATACACATTTCTATTGTATGTATAGGAACCATTTGATAATTTCTCAAATGGCTAAGCCGTAAGTATTTTTTTTAATTTAAAAAGTTTTAGTTCTTTGAACTTGTCTGGTAATTTATTGTAAATTTTAATGCACATAATAAAAGTGTTTTTAGCTGCTAAAGACAATTTTGTAGCAGGCCATAATTAATTTACATAATTAATTTGATTAGTGAAATGTCTATTCCAGCTAATCATATTGCATTATTATTGCATTTCTGGATGTACTAATACATCAACAAAAAAATAAAAATAAATAAACCAGTCAATTATTTATGTCAATTAAAAAGTCTTTTAATTGTAACAATGAATTATACCTATTAACATTCATTTGAAAGGTCTTCATGAGACCATGTCAAATATATACAAATATAGTAGCATTTTTAACAGCATTCATGTTTTTTAATTATTAGAACTTATTTTATATCTGCAACCTCTATCTAATACATGGCCGGCCAAGAAGAGCTTTTGACCATTTGACATATTTAGGCCTCGCTGACGATCATTATTGCAGAAACGGCAAGGGGGCGGGCCATACGCCGAGGCAGCGCGGCTATCGGCTAAGGTTGCTGACGTACAGACTCGACAGTTTCCACTCACCATCTACCAGGGGCGCAGAAGCGGCAAGGGGCCGGTCCATACTCCGAGGCAGCGTGGCTATCGGCTCAGATTGCTGACGTACAGACTCAGCAGTTTCCACTCACCATCTACCAGGGGCGCAGAAGAGGCAAGGGGGCGGTCCAAACGCCGAGGCAGCGCGGCTATCGGCTCAGGTTGCTGACGTACAGACTCTTGAGCTCCGTCTTAGGCGTGTTCTCGAATAAAGCGGCCCGATTCTGGCCCTCGCCCTTCTTCACCCAGTGCCCATATACGCGAAAAGCGCATCCGTCTATGACCTGTGAGAAAACAATAAATTATATACAAACAATATTTTTTTAGTTTCGATGACATTTTTTTATTTGTTGAGATATTTAGAAGAAAACCATTACTATAACTAACATTGTATATAACAACACAATCGCATAGCTATTCCTACACGGACAAAGAAATTTGGTGACTCATTTCTTTGTCGTACTATTCGCAAGTGGAATTCTTTGCACGCACACGTGTTCCCTTCTTCCTACAATCTGGGGTCCTTTAAGACAGGCGTAAAGAAGCATTTCTGCAGGTTGGCAAGGTGATGATCGTTGGTGTGGTAGTTTATGACTGCTGCACCAGGTATCTTCCCGTCTAGACACTGAACATCAGGTGAGATAGAGTCATTTGCCTACCTACTTTGCTCAAAAAATCGTTAGTTTGGTTTTTATGACACGATCAAAGACTAAGTTTTATGAAATATTTGCGTGAAAAAGGATATGTCTATAGTCCTGTCTGCTGCCTAGTTCACGTGGAATTTTCTCTAATAATATTTTCTTTAGAATTTATCTGGTTCATAACTTAAACATTAACTTAACTTAAACTATAACATTAAATAAAAAGAGATATTGTTTTTAACCAAAAGTCGACAATCAACTTTATCTATACTCAGAGCTAGTACAGTATCCTGAACTGTTAGAAGACGCGTTTTAATTTTGTGAAATAATATGGTGTTCGCGCCCGTATAAACCCCACACATACATAATAAGAAAAGGAATAATACAAAATCATAGCAAAGGATTGCACTTATTCAACGGGTGGCGCCATCTATTGGATCCAATCTGTAGCGCGCCTAGTACAAACGTCATTGGATGTCACCCGCAGATGGCAGATGTCGCTCGTGTACTTATTCAGCTGTTTTTCCGGCCATAAAGGTATGACTTGCAAAATATCATTCTCTTGAAAATATTGAAAACGACACCTGTAAAGGGCCCGACACTACAATGAAAGTAAATACAGACACGCTGCTTTTCCTGTTAAAAAGAGTTTTATTTAGGAGATAGAAATTTAGACCCAGTTTCGTCTATACATGAAGCAGAGATTCCTCACCTTCCGGAGAACTCGCGTGGTGTAAGGGTCCCGTACTGCGTCCTGTAAAGGCAGAGCTCGCGTGGCAGTGTGAGGCAGTCTGCTGAGTCGTACGGCCGCGCGGACCGCCACGAAGCCGAGACGAAGCTTCGCCCGCGCGTTGAAACGACCCGACTTTATCGCCTAAGCCCACACAAAGACTTAAGAGTACGTTCAGATGATAGGCGTTTAACACGAGTTATGCTAGCGCGCGGTGTCAAGTACATGCATTTTGTTCGAGTCGTTCAGATGCTAAAACGCGTTTTTATTGAACGCGCGCAACGTGCGTTAACAAAACGCGCGCTAAACGCCTATCATCTGAACGTACTCTTAGTTAACTTTATTTTTTTAAGATCAATATTTTTTGGTTAGATGATATCAAGCACAATACTCGGTTACTTTGTGACACAAAGCACTCCCACTAAAGTCCGCATTATGGCGCGATTACTCTTGGTCGTTAGCCCGAATACGAGTGCCAGTAAATGAACGGCGACTCGAGTACACCCGTATTCGGGTAATTTCCTTTTGTTTACCCGACACCGTCTTCAAGCCCTTATTCCAGTGTAAATATTGCTATGGGTGCCCAAAATCGAGTAATGTACGTGCACCCGAATTCGGGCTAGCGACCAAATGTAACTGCGGCATTAAGGTAGTCGCACATCGACATTATTATCTGTGATCAATTAAAATAAGAGTATATAACCAATCACTAAATATGGTAACACCGAGATTTAGACGCTCAGTGTTGGTTCTTGTCAGTCATTGGTGCCATTAGCTTACAAAATTTACGTTTGAAATTAAAAAATCGCGTAAGTTGGCGGTGTGTGGGGCGGGTAAGCCGCGTTATGATTGGACACGTCAGTGTGACGTCACGTTCAGATGACATATTTAGTAAAACGATGTATCGTCTGGAGGCATGTCACACGCATATGCGACAATACTACCTAGGCTTGGAACAAGCAGGTGCTCTTGTAAGCGGTATTTAGTGGGGGTACTGTGTGCTTTGTGACAATAATTCAACACTAAAGTAAAAAGGTAACTGATAAATGACTTATGCATAAGCTTTTGTCGTATATTTTCAATATAAGACACTTCATACACAACGACCAACAGGAAGCGGCGGCCGAAAAAATACTCATACAGCCTTATTACAAAATGTGGACCAAAGTTAGCCATTGTAAACAAAGGTGGCAGGCTCATTTAAGACCGCGTTTATCTTTTTTTTTGTCAACGTTTTGTAGTAAAAGGCTTACATAATTTTGTACTGTAATTACAGTCGATCGATCGACATCGATTGGACTAGGAATGTAACTCTTAAGCAGAATGTAAGCGAGCGAAGCAAGCATGCCGCGGCAGCGGATGGCAAAGTACCAAAACGACTTTTACACATTCAGCGGTATAACGTTCGGTGTTTATTGAACCAATTAAACCGGAAATATATAAAAGCTTTATAATAAAATGTTGTGAAACAATATCGTAAGTATTATTTATATAATTTTAATAAATACTCCATTAGCAGTCATACTAGACTGGAAGCGAAAGATACAGCAGAATATTTTAAATGCAGATAATATACTCGTGCCAATAAAGAAACGAATCTAATATGGCGACGAAAGACATACTGTCCCTGTCGTATATTAATCGTGACAGTAATTTCCCTTGACTGGCAATAATAAAAGTATATCAGGCAGAAATCAACATATAGAGTTAATAATCATATAAGTGATGAACTAGCAACAAGATACCATTATTTTCAAAACTTACTCTCTGAGTACGATTGTATAAGTATGAAAGTATGAAACAATCACCATACCTTCGCCATTTTCAAAAGCTTCCTAAGTAAGTATGAAAGTAAGCCATTGTCCAATGTTTAAGTAAGCTAGCTTAACACTTTACCTTTACCAACGAGTTTGACTATGAATAAGAAATAGACATAACACAATGTAACTTATTTTATTAACTGTGTGCGAGTTTTTAAGTTTCTAAAACGCCTTTACGGTAACTAACATTTAAAGGCATTTGAAGAGTGCCATCTAATGATCTACATACTACGGTAATTTTGTACTGCTTATAAAAGTGCATTCTGTAAAAGACAATCGCATTTAAAAACTCACACAACATACTGTCTCGGTTGGTAATACCTGTTGAAAAAATATGTGTTAATATAACACGGTATTTTAAGAATTTCTCCAATCTTTTAAAACTTTAAACATTTTTCTATTAACCCCTTCAAAATGTATTTGAACAGTTCGACTCTTCGTTATTTTAAAATTGTTTTGTTATTAAAGATAGTAACACATGCAGGCGTTAAAGATGATCAAAAAGCAATCTGTGATTGTAAATAATAAATGAAATCTCATTATTACACAATCAAGATTAGTATTAGTTACGAACAGAAGCAACGAAAAGGTGCATTTTGTTTGAATATTCGGGTTTTGTATTGCATGTCTCGTATAAATATTACTGTAATATATAATACTATGTAATGATTAGTAGAATCAAAGTGTCTTGCTAATTATATTTTCAAACACAAACTTAGTATTGGTCCTTCGAGCTGGATAACAGAAGTAGTGTGATGTAAAATGTTATGTTTCGTTAACAATGTTTTTGTATTTTTTCATACAAGGCATGTTTTAGACAGCATCGGTTCACCTTTATAATAATTCATTCAAACAAGAACCCTATCACATATAAATGCTGTGAAAGCTGAACACCATTAGACTAAAATAAACCATCAAAATTGTCAATTAGAATAATGTAATTTAAGCAAACGCTAAAAATGTACACCCATGACAGGCCAACCCCTCTCTATAAGTACAATCACACACACACACACATTACCATAGTCAACTGGTCGATTCTAGACATCCTTCTACTGCAGTTCGAGAGGGACTTCTTGAGCGGCGTCATGTCTTGGTCCCACAACTACCAGGAGCGGAGAATCAATTGTAGTGTGATAAACATGTATTTTACGGTTCAATCAAATCTCTTTCTGGGCTTTGGTTGCCTGGTTACTTAAAAAACGACTTTCAATATACCTTAGACAGAAAGAATGGACTGAGTAACACTTGTATGCAATTTATAACTGTCTGTCTGTCTGTATTAAGAAGAGAAGGCAATGGTGCAGCTAATACTTATGCGAATTATCAGAGGTACGTTCCCTTCTCTTTCAAAGTTACCTATCTGGTTTTACTTTACAGTTGGACAGGGAACGCTCAGCCATTCTCTAGGTCTAAAGTATGGTAAAAAAAGGAAGAATAGACAATAATCCAATGCGTTTTTTATGAATATGAAATTGAATAAATGACATAAAAGAACATAAGCTGCCACTTATTCAATATTAATAAATATCTGGTAATTCATATGAATCATGTTTTGGCATCATTTAAATAATTGTCAATGATTTGATTAAACCGTAACAAAGTAAAGTATTGCATAGTGCATTAAGCTGTAAGTGCACCATGCACTGTTTACAAAGTGCATGTAGGTAATAATATATTATATACAAGCGGAAACTTTCTATCTGCGCATTAGTTACCAAAGCTCAAGAAAAAGAGTTGGATCAAAAGAAATTTTTAAATTTGAGAAATAATAAACATGAGAGAAACAATGATGCAAATAATAAATTATCATAATATGCATGTTTTTTATAGCTCGTTTATCTGTGCAGTGAATTGCATGAGTGCGTTTACGATATGCGTTACAATAGCTTTTTATTTTAAGACTTCTCTAAGATACCTTATATGGACATATAGGTGTTAAGTCGGTGTTAAAAAAATTGTTCTGTTTACGAAAACATTTTCACTAGCATAAAGTTTTGTTTGGGCATCTCAAAGCTTATTTTTCGTTAATTAAATGCTAGTCAGGGTGACATGTTGCCTTACTCTGTTGCTATCGCAAAAAAGTGTAATTTTAAAGAAACATATATTGATGTCCCCGTATACGAACATAAGTACAAAATAAAACTAATTTTACGGGTTAATGCACGAAACTTTATTTATTTATTGACGTTTCGTATTTAATAAAGTTTCGTGCATTAACCCGTAAAACTAGTTTTATTTAATGAGTGATGTGCGTGAAAACCTAAGAAACAAATATAAGTACAAAACTTCATAAAAACGAAACCACTAAAAATTAAGAAATAATAAATTTTCTTTAGTCAAATTAATATTTGGAGTCGGTGCCATGTCAACCCAAGTAGTAAATGGAAACTCTGGTCTATCAGACAAGCATGGTGCCGTCTCCAAATATAAATTTGACTTTAAAGGCACTTTAGACTTAACTAAAGAAAATGTATTATTTCTTAATTTTTAGTGGTTTTGCTTTTATGAAGTCAGTTTTCATTTTTGTTAAAAAAGATTTTCATTTTTCACTTTCTATAAACCAGAGCAACATCAACTTACTAAATATAGATGTCTGACCTACAATTTCTTTTTCATATTTCGTAAAATAACCAAACACGATGAGTACTGTTCGTATCTAAGTTCTGTTGTTTATCTCCGAAAGTATTTATCAGATATTCGCCAATTTTATATGGGACCATTTCGCTAACAAACTCTTTCAAACAAAAAAAGAAAAAATGAAAATTGGTACACAAATCTCGGTGATATGCGCAAACAACAAAAAAAAATACGAATAAAGAACCTCCTCCTTTCAGAAGTCGGTTAAAAATAACCTTTTCATCCCACCACCTCGGAAAGTGTAATTTTGCGCTTCGAAATCTGGCTGGAAAATTCTATTTTATTCGCTTGAGCGGCAAAGTAGATTTGAATTTAGAACATCACATATAATGAGTACTCAATATAATTGTAAATTCAAAACGTCATTAAACCTATTTAATGTAACCTCTATGGTGCCAAATTTATGATTAGAACTTTTTAAATTGTGAAAAAATTTAAATTTGGAACCTTCTTGGTTTCTTTGTTTTATTTGCGTGCTTCGCGCCATTCTAGTTTTTCACGTTTTATTGCTTAATATAATTAACATAACCTAAAAACTGTACAAAAAAATCAACTAAAATGAGTGACATTAGCGACGATGAAGTTTATCTAACGCCAACTGAGTTAACTGAAACAGTTAATAATGCGCAAATGAGCCTTCTCCCTCAGCAATCACGAGAGAAGTATTTGAAACAGTACGATATATTTAACATGTGGCGACTAGCTAAAGGAGCAAAAACTTTCTCCGAAAACGTTTTGCTGGCATATTTTATAGAATTATCTGAGACCAAGAAAGCAAGCACGCTATGGAGTACGTATTCAATGCTAAAATTAACAATTAAGATGAAGAAAGACGTTCATATCGACACCTATCATAAATTAGTGGCATTTTTAAAAAGAGCCTCATCTGGTTATAAACCAAAAAAATCGAAGGTTTTCACAGCATCTGAAATTGCAAAGTTTATTAATGAAGCACCTGATTCCGTATATTTAGCGGCAAAAGTAAGTCAATACGTGTAATTTTTTGTTGTTGATAAAATTGTACATAGTACTTACAATATTTTTAATTTGATTAATTTATTTACGATTATAAATACTTCTTTTGTTACAGGTTGTTCTTATTATTGGTATAACCGGAGCATGTCGAACAAATGAACTTACACTACTTAATGTCAATAACGTATCAAAATATTCTCATAATTCTGATGAATTGCTATTAATTAATGTACTAAATACCAAGACAAAAAAAGACCGCAACTTCGTTATTCGCAAGGAATATGTAAACATTGTTCAGAAATATCAAGCTTTACGTCCTTCTAACACCCCAATTGAACGATTTTTTCTACAATATCGCAACGGAAAGTGTATCCGACAACCTATGGGTCAGAATAAAATTGGCAGTATTCCACGAGAAATAGCAACTTTTCTCGGACTTTTAGAACCCCCGTTATACACCGGTCACTGTTTTAGAAGAACCTCAGCCACACTTTTGGCCGAATCAGGGGCTGATCTTCTATCGCTTAAGCGCCATGGAGGCTGGAAGTCTAATTCGGTTGTAGAGGGATACATAGAGGATTCAATCCAAAGTAAATCAAAAATTTGTAATAGTATCGTGGAGGCCATAACGCTGAAAGAACCTCTGTCAGATTCTTGGTCTCGCCCTTCTACATCTAAAATGAGCCCCCATAAGATTGGAAACAATAGCCCTCTCTCGCCAACATTTACGCCAATAGAATCCAATGAATCGGCACAACTATTTAAAATTACTGATACGAGTAGTTTACCACAAAACAGCGCACAATTCACAAACACCAACATAACATTACCTAACAAAAATATTAAACTTAACATAAGTAACTGTAGCAACGTTACATTTAATATTTCTTAATTATTTTCTACTTCTTATTATTTTCTTCAATTTATAGATTATCTTAATGTGTTTTAATTGAAATAAAAATATTTTGTCATTATAAATTGTTTTCTTTTTCATTTTGTCATTTCCTCGCTGAGGTGGGATGAAAAGTTACGTATTGCACTCGAGTGGAAAGATTTTTCACCTTGTGCTCGTTTGTTTCCCTCGCTGACGCTCAGGATTCTAATTTAGAATCACTCGCTGCGCTCGTGATTCAACTTTAGAATCCTTCGCTTGCTCGGTCATCCAAATCGAGCACGCGGTTAAAAAGGAACTTTCCACTCTTGTATAATAAATAACTATTCTTGAAAATGCATCAATTTTTTTTGAAGTTTCATTCCTTAGTTAATGGAATAATAAAGTCATTATTAGACTTGCACATTGCAATGCAATTACCAATAATAGGTTACAGTAGTGTGTCGAAACGCATACACTAAACGCACTCATCTAGTTTATCAGGAATTATAACAATCATATTCGATTTATTTAGTAACAATTAAAATACTCATTAAATCAACTTTAAAGTAATCTCAGATTAAATTCCTCAAAAAATTAAATAAATTCCACACATTTATTTACAAAAAATTATATCAAAGTACCAGGATAGCATAACTTGATAAGAGTACATACCACTGTGTTGAAGAACGAATGTTTCAACGCTTCTACTATCCCAATCCTTTCGTTCGGATCTACTACTAGCAGCCTCCTGATGAGATCTTTGGGATCTTCTGTAAATGTCGTATTATTACGTTAGTAATATTTCATTAATAGTTATTTATGATATAAGTGCGGTAAGTTTGTAAATACCAATGCCGCACGAATGTCATACTAGATTTTTCAACACATTTGCGATAACACAAGAGCATATATCTAATTTAAGTAATGAAGCATTTTTTTTCTAATAAGAAAATTGCGCGCATTTCCTAGTGGCGCCACGTGCAGGTGGTGAAAATAAGAACTACATCTTTCGTCTGTTTTTCGTGTTAGTATTAGAGTTAGACAAAGGTATAAATTAAATCGCTTTTAAGGAGATTCGCCGATTGAAAAAAAAACCGTAAAGAATACGCACGCCATGTTTGAGAGCGTGCGGTAAAATGTTTTACCGCACGCTCCTTTGTATGGCCCGCAATTTTGAACCTCCGAACAATGTGTACAACCACCGTAATTGCATTTTTGAGCATATGTTTAAAAGAAAAACTCGGGTGATTTTTTTGATTAAATGATTAATTGATACCATTACATTAACTTAACAACTCTGATCCTGCTTTAAGAACAAACTAACTTTTCATTGCAGAATCCGCGGTGTGATTTGAAATTTATTTGAAATTCATAATCTAATTTCAAATCATAGCAGGAATTTCGCGGTGAAAAATGAATTTGGTCTTACAAAATGGCATTGTTGAGCAGCTCTAAGATGTAAAAGAAAACATACATCAAGTTTATTTTTTCTATTGTCCCAACAACATACTTTGTAGATATAATTGTGTCGATTCTGGCATGATTATCTAAACTTAAAACTAAATTTAACATCAGTCTCTCCCTTTCATTCTGTATAGAGAAAGACAAGGATACACTATTGTCAAATTTAAGTTTAGGTATAGAGATTCAATCTAGAATTGACTATAACACTCAGATTAACTATAAAGACTCGTGAATTAAATACAAAATTGGGGGTAAGCTGGCCGGTAATTTATTCAGGGGTAATTTACCTGATATGTCTACCCACTCAGGGCTTGTGAAGGAGTATTTCCCCTCCATGATATTCCTCAGCATCACCATCTGCTTGCGATGCCAAAACGGCGGGCAACCAACCAAACTATAATAATATTTAACATACATTACAAACATAAATATATATATGTTATTAATTAATATTATTATACCGAATATAACATAGAACTAATAATCTAGCAGTTAATGCTTAGAAATAATAAATAAATAATAAAAATAATAAATATAAATCATAATACAATATCTACATTTTTCATTATACATCCATCACGATGTTAAACAGTTACATAATATACAACATTAAAATGTAAGTATATTTCTATTATGTTAGGCAAAAATATAAACTACGATTAACTCAACAATATACATATAAAAAAGTTGTCTTGAAAATTGTCCTAGAATAGCATTGATTTGGTAACTGTTCATATTGGTGAATTTATACTGCACAAACAAATGTTTTGATAGTGCATCTAAAAGTCGTTAAAATTAATGGATATGATAATACGTACTTAAAATAACCGAATGCAGTCAGAAGAGTCGTTTAAACATAATCTTAGTAAGTGATATCTCAGAATGATTGTTATGTAATAATTGCGTATTTCAGCTTAATCTATAATACAAAATTAAATGAATAAAGAAGTCATATTTTAAATGAGTAGTCATTATATAACTGATGATAAAAGAAATGATCTGACGAACATAAACAAATTGGCCAAGGTATACCATAATTACTGTTATATAAAAGTATATTTCATATTTCTTTAATTAAACTTTAATCATCATATTTTATCAGTTGTCCGATATCCACAACTTTAATAATTAAAGAAATTAAACATGAATTTCATTTTAATCTCTTTTATGTATTTTGGAATAAAATTGTAAGTTCTACTTATTACCCGTGACTTTATCTACTTTCGTTGGTATTTCACATCTTTCAACTTTTATTTTGTGGTATCTTAGAATGGTTGTTCTTTATTAACTGAAAATTTAATGTAACTTCATACCGAATGTCATGAGCTAAAGTAGGCTGAAAAGACTTAACTTAAGTAGGAAGAAAATTTTACAGAATTTATAATATATGTATGTATACTAAAATAACTGTAATAAAATACAATTAATATTAATTATACTTACAGAGTAAACATGATGACGCCACATGCCCATCTGCAAAACATTTAAAAATAACTCTTATTGCAATGCAATATTTGTTTCTTAGGTTTTCACGCACATCACTCATTAAATAAAACTAGTTTTATTTAAATTCCTAAATGCTAAAAAAGGAAGTGCGTATAAACTAGGGCAATATACCCATCCCTTTCGCACCATCCACATATCCAAAACATTGATTAGCTACGCATACTAAGTGATTAATTATTTTGAATAATAATTATCTCAGCACGCGCCATTTATATTTATTTAGGATAACCCCGCCATAATGACATATCCTTGTATCGGCGATATCAAATTTCAGATTACCACGAATACATAACGTTCAGTTGGTACGTGCGTCATTGATGCATTATCTAAGAAGGAATCATTTTCTTGTTAATGTTAAATGTCAAGCGTCGCATGAATTTTATGGTCAAGTCAACATATAGAAATTAATTAACTGAGGAGCTGGTGAACAAAAAACGGTATAATTACATAAAATTAAATTTTAAAGGAGCTGTATAAAACTGAATGACGTACCTACAGTGAGTTTTTGGCATGGTTTTTAATTTAGTAATTTTTAAGCTGCTTTAGGCGGTTTTGATTGAAAATTATTTGAGAGAAATTCATAAGAAGGGCTCATAGCCTCCGGACAGTAAAAATAAAAGCAGTTTGACCAAATACGTAATTTTATACCGTTTTGTTCGCCAGCTCCTCAACTATAATATTGGAAACATATATAACTATGTTGGTCAAGTTAACTATAGTAGTTAACAAGCTTTACTTGACATGCAATGGAATCAGGAAAAAAGAACGGGCCAGAATGTTGCTACTTATTATCCTTTTTACGTAAAAAGGTTAATTGTACGAAAATCATCTTATTAACATTAGAGATAGCATAGCATGAAACGATACATAAAATTCTTTGCTATACTGTAGTCACATAGCTTCAAAGAAGTTCAGATTTTTAAATCTAAAGAAAATCCACGCGAACGGGCAGCGGACGGCACTCGAACCCGCACCCTTCGCAATCCGGGCAAATGCACTGACCAATTATGCTACCACGGCCCTGATGGCCGCGTCGAAATTTTCCAAGCCTTAAGCTGCAAGGTAGCACCATCTCTTCGTATTGTAGGTAACCCACAATTTTGTTTTTTTTTCTAGTAAAACTTTTCTTTAGATTTAAACATCTAGCAGTTAAATGCCTAAAAAAAACATAAAGTTCAGATTTGTTTTAACTTTTGGATATTTTATTTGTTTTGTTTTCATAAGTCATCTGAGATCTAGTTTTTTGTGATACAGCCTCAAATGGTTTTTATTATCCTCTACTGTTGGATTGGTCTCAGAAAAAATACATATATCGTTACCCGATTAGCAACCCAATTATGATCTGTTACAGCAGAAATACAGTGATGCCGGAGCCGGATCTAGTATAAGAGATCTAGCACTGGCGTCATTTGAACTGGACTGGCGTAAAAAACGTCTATGGATGAAACCCCACGTGTACCTTAACTTTATTTACAAAACCGCAACTTGCGCTAACTTCACAACGGCCATTGAATTTAAATCGCACTATATATTATGTCATATTGCCAAAGAGTTAAAGTAAGACAATTATTAGTCCCTTTTTTTTTTTTTTTTTTTTATTCGGTAATAGGTAAGCGCTTGACCACAATTCGCCTGATGGAAAGCAATATTATGGTCTACGATGGAGCGCGCTTACCTAATAAAAACCGGTTCACTCTTGCTTTGAAGACCGCTAGATTGTAGTGCTCGGGGAACAAGAGCTCAGGCAAGGAATTCCACAGTTTCCCTGAATTAACTTTTGTAATAATAGGCTTGAATTTAATAATTGAATGAATTGAATTAGTTTAATGGACATTGGATGCATGAGAGCGATATGTCAAGTTACTGAACGATATCGTTTGATTAATTTGTAAATTGACTTATAGGCAATACTTTATTTGTCCGTCGTGTTTGTCGTAACCGGATTCATAATGAGCACGCATCTGTTTATTATTTTTCTGCAGTATGGCTAGCTTTATCTTACAAAATTTAATATTTTATTCTTTTTTATTTTCTTTCCTTAATTTGGACATTAAAACACAACACACCTTTAATAATAATAATGTGGTTATACTCACATATCCACCTCCATTCCGTACCCTGGCGCGTCGTCAAACATGTTGGCTTTCAGTGTTTCCGGAGCTAAATAGCCCGGCGTGCCACATAATTCTGGGGACAAAATACAACATTTTTCTTTCAGGTTAATACTTAATATAGCAATTAATACAACATGAGGATTACTGATGCGTCATGCTAGTGAACGATCACTTCTCTAGTGTATTTCTTGAAATTTGATCCAAACCTACAATAATAATTTAACAGGGGAACATAACGTAAATAGCTAAGTAACTCCTGTGCAGATCGCATAAAACCCTTGGCTAACAAGGGTCTTTGTTGCAGTAACAATCAGATGTAACTTGAGCTAGTCATCTATAATTTCAGACGAGCTAGGACCCTTAAAGCATGACCTATCCTGTTATGATGGTACGCACAGCGTACCATATACAATGTTTTATTATACAAAGTATTGTGCGTATAGGAATATAATGATTTTATTACCGTATTTACTTTTTACGGTTAAGTTAAACCTTAAAGATTTCCCCCCTCATCAATCTTACTAAAGGCCGAAACACACAGAAGCCGGAAGCGGAGCGGTACCTCTTATGAGCCCGAAATCCATTGTAAATATCACTACACGATGAAAAATTTTGTAAAAAAATACAACTGGATAAACCAGTAAAGCTCAATTGTCAAATTACTATGGAGTTCGACAGTGAGACGCGATAAAAGCCGTGATATAATGTAAATTGAGTTTTTTTTATGTTATAGGGGGCATACGAGCAAACGGCTCACCTGATGGTGATCACTTATCACCGTCGCCCATGGACACACGGTGCTTATGCTACCCCCGTAGCGCCTGGCACCTTAAAATAGGGTCAAGGCGATCAACCACCCTTATCGGCTATATCATTAATCAATAAGAAGTAACAAACAATACTGACTCACCGAACAACCTCTCCCCATCCTTAAGCACCTTCGCAAAGCCGAAATCAGTAATTTTGACGTTGAGCTGGTCGTCCAGCAGGATGTTCTCCGGCTTGAGGTCTCTGTGCACGATACTCTTGCTATGCACGAACCGCACGCCCTCCAACACTTGCCTAACCAAACATAATAATACAATTATATTATCAAAGGTAAGACGTAACGAACTTTACGTTTAAAGTTGGAGCTGCCGTCTCCACTAACCACCTTACTAATTAATATTATATAAGTTGTATTTACAAAACTAAATCATCTTTTGATGAATAAATAGTAAGACCCTTATGGCTAAAGACGTTCTCCACGGGTGTTTTAGTCAGTAAATGTCTGACATAACTCTGCAGCCGGCTGTAGGATCATCATCATCATCAGCCTATTAATGTCCCCACTGCTGGGGCACAGGCCTTTCCTATGGATGGAATAGGGAGATTGGGCCATGACCCACCACGCGGGTCCAGTGCTGATTGGCGTGTGCTAACGACTGCAGATGCAGCTGGGACCAACGGCCCAACGTGCCTTCCGAAGCACTGAGGATTACTGCGGCTGTAGGATATCCATAGGGATTTCACATGCGCCCTTTTTTGCTTTTGCAACTTTGCTGCGACTAGACTCTCTGTATTTTTTTAAGATTTATTCTACATTTCCTATAACTTATGGCTTTATTTAACAGATTATAAGATTAAGCTCATTTTATTGGATTTAAGTTGAAAGACAAAACCGTGGTGTTGTTTGTGGTCTGTGTTGCGCCGCAGAAAACATACGGTATCTACAGAATTCCTTCATACAAACAGAAGCAGGGCTAACGACTGCGCAATGCTAGAGCGCGAAGCGCTACGCGCGACAGGGTAGTGTTTAACAGTCTATAATTTTTTATAGAAATCTTCGTGACAAAATACCACTTTCATGATAAGACTTAGTCATAGTACATTTTAAAATAACGTGATAAACCTGCGTACGTTTGTTAAAGGTCATTGTAGTTTATGGACCCTAAGATACCACATGCTCGATCGATCACATTGCATGGAAGTGGTGGAAGTTAAACAATGACTATTATTAATATGTATGACTTCAGATTTCTTCTATGTTTTTTAAATTTTATATTAGCGACCCATTGCGGCTTTGCATTATTTAAATTTATTAACGCGATATAATAATAATGTCACCCAGGGATAGTGTAGCTTTTTATTCGTGAAGGAATTATTTGAAACCGTTTAGTAGTCCTCCCTACAAACAAACTACTTCTAAGTACAGAATTGATAAATAGGAATGTATTTATTTATACTTTATTGCACAAAAGTATGTACAAGTGGCGGACTTAATGCCATTAGGCATTCTCTACCAGTCAACCAGAGAATTTTAGCAAAAATCTTAAGGTAGTATTCTATATTCACATAATTTCCATAACTTATTACAAATTTACCAAAAGATCTTATAATGTTTCGAAATTAAGCAGCACTACATTACATTACTACAGACTTTTTCTTAATTAAATAATTTTTGGTTTCATACGAACTATAAAATCTGCTATCTACCAAAAGCAAAATGACAATTGATTTACCTTATGTAACAGTTTAATAACGTATCTAAAACAACTTTGTAAAATACAACTAATTCAACACACTCGGCGGTTTCCTTCTTTTCCGAATTTTTAGGAGATCCGTTGTATTGTACACAATAAGCCATTTTGTAAAAAAAAATCTAAATGAAGATTTTAAATACGATAGATATTTTTTTTGCAAATTTAACTGCACCGGACGAATTGTACTAGGAGCGCAACGCGGCACAAGAGCTCTCGAACGACTGAGCTCTGCTTTGTGATGTGATTGTGCTCGAGATAAGTATAATTTACGCGAAACTAGTACTTTGAGTTATCGCAACTAGACTAAACGAGAAACGCATCATAATGTGTAATTTATCTAATAATTAACATAATACTGTAAATATTGGTGCGTGAGTATAAACGCAAACATAACTACGGCTTCGTAGACGGCCGAAGGGTAAATGTTAATCGAAGATTGTTGCTAATTACCCGGCTGCGCAATGCAAGAGCGCGAAGCGCGACGCGCAGACAGGGTTATGTGTTTAACAGTCTATATATGTATGTTTGTTCCTTTGTGGCACACTAGAGACCAAACGCCTGGACCGATTTTGATGATTCATACATCAATCGATTCGTCTCAATCATGGGAGTGCTACTAAAGATATGATAGTAATCAAAATTCAGTATAGGCAAAATTAGGCGCCATATTGTGACGAAGTAAAAAAAATAAGTTGACAAAATATGTCGAGTGGGGTATCACTGCCTAGATAATCAAAAATCATATTTAGGTTCCTAACACCATTTTTCATTTTATATTATTGTTTAGGATCTACAACGCTTTAAAGTTGTATATTAACCACTTACGCTTTTAATTTCAATCTTACGTTTGTATGGATTTTTGTTGCTCTTTCACCAAAAAAATACTGAATGGATTTTAATGAAACTTAACAGTAATATAGCTCATATATGATAATTACATATATATAATAATTTATGTAGTTATTGAGTGAATTGGCCAATATATAACAATAAGTGTCACATAAGACGGAAAAAAATCTCCCATTTGCGAGCCATTTTGGCCTGCACTGCAAAAACAATAAAAGTTACATGAATGTAATGTAGAGAGAAAATGTATCTCTTAAATAGTTCTAAAAAAAAGTCCGTGACACCATATATCTATTTTTAATGTGTAAGTCATAACCGCTAAAATAGTGAATCAAAACTAAAATATTATTTGATATCTATTTGCAAAACCCACATTCATCCAAGACGATAAACTTTGCTTTTTACAGTATGTCATTTCGACAAATATTTAAAAAAGTTACAACGATGACAAAGAGATAGCGCGGTGTACTATGTAAAAGAAAAAAAATGGGGTATTCGCAGTATCTGATCCTATACGAAGTACTAAAAATAAAACTGTGATACAGTTCCTTCTTATTAAATGATGAAAAATATATTATCATAATAGGTATTTATGATTATTGAATTTTAATGAAAAACTCAGAATTTTACTATTTTTCATTTTTTTTAACGATATTACTTAATGTTACAAAAAAGGTTTACTTAATATAATGACAAATAACCCATTTTTCGCTAGTAAGTACATACTTATTGGAATTCCTGAATTACTTCTTTCTTCAACCTACGACATAAACGTCATTGATTGGTATTGTATATAGGGTGATTAAAAACATTTGAAATTAACTTCTGGCATCTACATATTGGCTTTCTGTGAATTATGTAGGTATATCAAATTATGAGACTAGGGACTGACACTGAATTTGTGTATATCACAATCTTAGACGTCCGGCATTGACATAACAATGCAGCCACTGCCAATTTTAAATAGTTCACGAATAAAAGTAAATGAATTTTATATTTACTGCTAAACTATTAAAAAAAACATAAACAAAAGATAAATTTTTGAGTAAGTGCTAGTTTACTATAAAATTTTCATACATTAGAGATATTTATGTAACGACTTGATTTAACTTCACACATTTTTGCGAAAATTGAGGCCCATCTGTAGCCTTGACCCCGCGGGTAAAGTCTTTATATGTCATAATAAATCAATCTTTTAGACCGACGCAAGGTACTTAATAATTCCCGCGATATTAATTCCCTTACTGAAGTAACAAGACTAAGGTATCTATATACCGTCTTAAAATACTAAGTAACTAAAAAGTGTGAAATAAAAAAGGTAAATTTAAAAATCAAAAAACCCGACTGCTTAATTATACTTCAAATAAAAACTGAAAAGAAAAAAACAAGTCCAGTAGTCTATAATTCTGTTAATAAGGAACAAAGCTACTTTAACAGTCGGGACCCACTGTTGAAAAATATTATGTATTCTTGAATATCTAATGGGTCCCGACTGTTAAAGTAGCTTTGTTCCTTATTAACAGAATTATAGACTACTGGACTTGTTTTTTTCTTTTCAGTTTTTATTTGAAGTATAATTAAGCAGTCGGGTTTTTTGATTTTTAAATTTACCTTTTTTTTAGATCTTATTTTATGATTGCATCAGAGCATCTCATTTAATTCGAAATAAATACTAATTAGAATTAATCGATAAGTTCATTATTAGGTATTACTAGCGGCCGCTCGCAACTTCGTCCGCGTAAACTTGAATTTTTTGAGAATCCTACAGGAATCGTAATTTTTTTATTTTTTTATATAAAGAATATCCTGTCTTTTAACAGGTGATAAACTATATGCGTACAAAATTTCCTGCTTTAGTTTTTGTATGATTGAGTGACAAACAAACATACAAACTTTCACATTTATATTATTAGTAGGATAGGATAATTATAGTCTATGAGTTTGAATAACATCGATAAGGTTGAATAAATAAGTCATAAGTATTATGATTCTTAAAATCCAATAAGTTTCTCAACTACAAATGGAAATATAGGTAAATATATAGAAAGATATATTGAAAGAAAGATAATGAATTACGTAAATGCAAAATGTGTATTGTTTGTTTATTGATAAAGAATATTGAAGTAGAATAAAAATATTTTGGTAGATTCAAAATTTTTATTTGATATATTACGTTATGCATGTTTTACATAATAAGACTTTAATTAAATACATGTTTTACATAATACAGAGTTAATTAACGTTTCTGGGCCTGTTAATGTTTCATTTCGAGGTGACAAAAACTATGTGCAAAACAGCTAGTTTATGTAATTTTTTATTTTAAATTATTTTTACTCAACTAGTAGGTATGCCTGTTTGATGTGTGTTTATGGAATCGAGTTAAAAATAAATATGAATGATTTTTACTCTATAATATATCTGAATATTATTCAGCCAGTCACTCTTAGTGGTCAATAAAGAGTCTTTATTGGCGAGCGACCGTGGCGATGGCTCAATAATATCCAAAGATACATGAATCTGAGCTAGTTAACAGAAAAAGATATTGAAAATAAGTTTTTTTTCTTGGTACCATTTCATTTCTGCACTCAAGAAGGCGCTAGTATCGATTCTTTAAATATTACATCCTCAAACCTTAGTCATATTTAAACATTAGAAGTGCCCTGCGGTTTCACCCGCATTTATTATAACTTTTATTTTATTTATTTATTTATCTAAAAAACAATACAGTTTTTATTTTAATAGGTTAACGCCTTAAAACCCTATAAGGTTTGACTAGGCGTTGCACATCCGTCTTCAGACAGATACTAATATTATTTACAATGTGAAACATTGGCCTAAAAATATATTGCGTTCTCAAACTTTACATTTGCGACCCACCTATGATACCTTTAGATGCACTTGAGATGTACACAATGATGTCGATTCTGACATGATTCTCTAAAACTAAACTTAAATTTGACAACAGTACATCCCTGTCATTCTCTATACCGAATGAAAAAGAGAGACTGATGTTAAATTTAGTTTTAAGTTCACGAGGAGACAGTGGTGTCGATCACGTCAGAATCGACACCACTGTCTCCTCTCGCCAGACTACTCATTCATAGAGGTCGCGGCACGAGGGGATATCTGCGCATGGTTACGACTGGAGAGCCAATCGGCGCAACGCACGTCTACCCGCGCATCTCGTTTCCCCCGCAAGACATCTTAATTTTTAATTCTGCGCAATAACGGTCAGCGCTAGTTACGTACCACGACTTAAAACAAGGTTTTTTGCTTACGCTCTACAGAATGATTGGAGAATATTGATTTTCGACTCGTAAGGTGTCATAGCAAATTTATGTGTATAATTATATACTTATATTATTCATATATAACATTATAGATATCTTATATGTTGCTTTAATCAAAGCTTGCATTTTTATCTAGCAAAAGTACTAATAATTTTAATAAAAAACTGTTTTTTTTTCTTCAACCATATCCAAACGTTATTTAATTTATCGATAAGAGGACAAATTTTGCAAAGACTAATGGAGTAGCTGGTTGCGTTCTTCAACTTCCAGTTTGAATCTATCTTATGTTCTAATGAATAAAGTGGTAAATCTAAATCTAAAGCTAAATATAAAGTACGCCATCTAGCGTCAAGTAGAAACACTAGAATAAATAATTTTAAATTTATTCTAGTGTTTCTACTCGACACTAGATGGCGTATTTTATATTAATTTTGTTTTTGTGTTAGATTGCTAAAGGAGTAAGGTTGTATTTGAAATATCAAAAAATGTGACTTGTGCTAATTTGCTTGTATGGATTGTTTTTTTTTTATCAATCAGGATGTCTTAACCTTTATTTGTGTTATGTGTACTATTCTCACTTACGTAGAGGCGTACTTTGGTTATTAATATGTAAGTTTTGGTTACTGATTCTGGTACTGAAACGATATGATGCTACTTCTACTCTTTTTTCCTGTTCTGTGGCCGTGACCTACCACACCAGTCCCAGTACCGATTGCTTAAGTTTTACGATCGCAGGCACTTTTCAACGGTCCGCGCGCGACTGAGAACTAAGAAGTGCTTGAGTAGTGTTTAAGCACTTCTTGATTAGGACACACTTTTAGGGCTTGTGGTGTATTAGGAGTTTTTAATATTGTTGTTATGGCATAACTCACCTCATGATATATCTCGTCTTCTTCTCTGATAGTGTGACGACAGAAGTAAGATAGTCAAACAGTTCTCCATTCTTACACAGCTCAAACACCAAGAATATAAATGTTTCGGACTCAAACACGTCTTGTAGTTCAACTAAAACAATTCAGAACATAAATTTTATTTATCATACATATATTATGACTTAAAGAGGGTACATAAATCACTGTTAGAATCATGTTAATATTACTCTTTATATATTAATAATGATCATAGACAAAGTGGTAAAGCAAAAAAACCCTTTGACCCCAACAACCTTCTATAAATAGGTCATTACTTGAACCAAACTAGAATCTTAAGATACTAAATCGGTATTTAATATGGGATTCTTTTAAGACGCTATGTTAATGTAATAGATGTGATAAAATATTGAAGCTGACCAACATTTTACTATATTTTATTGCATGTTTACTGTTTAGTCACGAAATTCGCCTTGTGGTAAGATATGCCTGTATCTGCACTGTTCACTTTAAGACCCTCCCTGTTATATCAATCAAAAAATACAGAGAGAGAGTATACAACCTGGCAAACTTCTTAAGCATCGAACATAGACAGGGAAGCCTGTGCAGTAGCAATTTCCCATACAGATTCATTAACATTACAAGTTTATTTGTCTATGGTTTTGCTCAAAAAGTTTGTTGCTACCCATACATAAAAATCTTTTTCTAGGCAGGCTTTTCCAGGCATTTATCAATTGTTTCAACTGCCTGCCTGACAACAGTAATAATATGTTCATGCTTTTGAGAATCATTTCGAGTCAAATGATTACCACTCAAGATGTTAACAACTCACTCACTAATATAAGGGTGTCCTGCCACCATCCTTAGGATGTGGATCTCCTGCCGCGTGGCGTCGCGCATGGTGTGCGTGTCGACGCCATCGTGCGACTCCTGGCTGAGGTCGATGATTTTAGCAGCATACTCTCGACCTGTCTCCTTCTCTATGCACCGCCTGACAGTGGAGCTTATGCCTCTGTGAATTTTTTTTTGTTCTTAGAAAAGGAAGTATTAAATACCTAAATTTAATAGTTTAAGGTATATGGAGGTAATAGGATATGGTTTATTTAAAAGAAAATTCAAAAAATTAAATATGTAAATATAATTTCTAACGCAATGAGTTGCATAATCAACTCCACATATTTCATAATGCTATGCATCGAGTGACTGATGGAACAATACCTACAGTCTTGGTTACTTATCGGTACTCTGCCGGTATGAATTGCATGTTTTCCTTTTTTTCTTTGTGAAGGAATGGTAGCAAAATAATAATTTTGTCAGTTGCTCATAAACATGCCAGATTGCATTTTTGTGTTGTGCTTGTACTAACAACAATAGTTTGCCTACCTATTATACAAAATTATAGTTTTTTAAATCAGCTGCGCTGTGTCATTTCAGTTGAGTTATTAGTTTAAGTTATGTATCTCATTTTAAGTGAACTGTCTGCGTAAGTTCGTATGAGAAATAAAATTCTTGAAAACCTAATAATATACCTACATTCCCTGGCACAGTGTTTTATGGAACCAAAAAAATTTACACCTTAAGGTTTTTGTATAAATCAATTATTTATACACTAATAAAGGCAAGAGTTCAATTCCCAGATCACTATTTTAAGTAAAAAAAAAAGATATGAAGTAGCAAAGTTTTTGAAATTTGTGCATGAAAAAATTAACAATTTAATTTCCTCAAAAGGCGGTTCCATATCTGTCCATGAGATTTTTGCCACTTGCTAAGGAATTATTGAAGGCATAAATTTGGAATGTTTTTTTATTTATAAGTGTCCTAGTTTCCGAGAAATATATATTTTTATTAATTTCGATTTTTAATTTTTTTCTCCAAAAATCGGCAAAAGTGGAACCTGGATTTAGTACAGAAAGGTTCTATAAGCCAAGTTCTATCACCCATAAAAAAATCAAGTTCCACTTTTGCGGTTTTAAGAAGTTATGACAGAATTTAGATAAAGGTCAACTTTCATGATCTAGGGTTGTCACAAAGGTCAACTATGAGTTAAATGAAAGTGTTATTTTTTTTGTTTGTTAATTAATACCGTCAATCAATTGAATAAAGTATATTATGTTATAATTGAATAAGTGTTGTACTTATAGACGAATACAATATACTTACATATACTACCTACCTAATGTAGATGTGATAATGTAGGAATACTTTATGTTTTAATTTTGACGACCACATTTTAATTTTGTACCTTACACGCTAAACGGTAAAGAAAAAATAAACTATGTTGTTTGAAAAAAATTAACACACATCCTATACTATAAACGAGCAATTATTGTATGTACCTATATAAATATATTGGTATGTAATTGGTTTCTCGGAAACGGATCTAACGATTGTGATGAAATTTTGGATTTAGATTTTTTTTTATGCAAAATAGGCAACGCGTCTGACCACAATATCAACTGATGGAAAGCGATGATGAGGCCTTTTAATTTTGACGAACACATTTTAATTTTGTACCTTACACGCTAAACGGTAACGAAAAAATAAACTATGTTGTTTGAAAAAATTTAACACACATCCTATACTATAAACGAGCAATTATTGTATGTACCTATATAAATATATTGGTATGTAATTGGTTTCTCGGAAACGGATCTAACGATTGTGATGAAATTTTGGATTTAGATTTTTTTTTATGCAAAATACGCAATGCGTCTGACCACAATATCACCTGATGGAAAGCGATGATGAGGCCTAGGATGGTACACGCCTGCCTAGAAGATGCCTGTTCACTCTGGCCTTGAAGATGTCCAGGTTATATTGGTCCGGGAAAACAGACCTCGGCAAGGAGTTCCACTCCCTAGCCGTTCGTATAATGAAGGCCGAAGCAAATCGATCTGGGAAATTGAACTCTTGCCTTTATTAAGGTTTAAATAATTGATTTATGCAAAAACCTTAAGGTGTAAATATTTTTGGTTCTATAAAACACTCGGTGTCAACCCTAGCATAAAAATTTAAAAATTAATATCTTCTAAACGCCGCAAAAGTGACACGTGGCTTATTTATGTATGATAGACCACATCCGTAGGTTTATTTCTATCTAAGTTCTAGGTTCCACTTTTTCGTTTTTAGGGAGAAAAAACAATAAATACAAAAAAAAAATGCTGCTCCCAAACCAATGCATTTTTTTAAGCTAAAGAAACGCGTTTATACGCCTCTGGTTATGCCCGATTGACACATATTTATTAAAAAATATATTGTTAATATTCACTTTATAAAAAAATATTCTAGATTTCATAGGTCAAAGGTCACGATAAGTTCATGATTTTTTTTCTCAAAAAGTATTTGAGTTAGACTTCTGTAAATTGAACTCAAGCCTTTTTTAGGGTATAAATAATCTATTTATGTAAGAATCTGAACATGTAAATTTTTTTGGTTCCATAAAACACTGTGCCTGGTAGAAAACTATAAACTAGAAAGTTTTTTTTTAATTATTGTACATGGTTAATTGTTAATTTTATTAATGACTAGTGGCCCACCCTTGCTTCGCTTCGGTGTAGAGCTGTAGTGCAAACTATAGTTTTTGTTCTCAGGCTTGTATTATAAACAATAACTTTATTTATATGATTATTATAGGCATGCATCGCCGGCCCCGGGTAACCGCTATGTCTCTGCATCTTAAATCTGGAATATCTTCAAAAATAATAATTTAAATTACATGCTGCAAAGGGCCATATTGATCTTTATTTTATGTACAATGTATTTAAGGTATTGGATAAGGATTGATGGTGTATTGCTTAAAATCGCTTCGTAAATAATCCATTATTTCTTTTAAAAAGTAAAGGATAAAAAAGGTTATTGTGGGTTATCCCAAAGGGATAGACATATACCATTGCAAACTTTTTTGTAGACCTTTGTGAGGTGTACAATACTGTCATACATTATTTTGATCTATCTCGTAGGGTTCAGACAGTATTTGCAATGTAAGCGCAAAAAATGTGGTTATTTACGACCTTACATTAAAAACCTCTAAAATTATCAGTGTTTCTTAACTATATTATGCATGTATTAAACATATAAACAGTTCTCTTGAATCACTCTATCTTTAAAAAAACTGCATCAAAATCCATAGCGTAGTTTAAAAGATCTAAGCATACATAGGGACAGACAGCGGGAAGCCACTTTGCTTTATACTATGTAGTGATTTTATATTTAACATCCTTAATTAGGACTAAAAGAATAATATTGGATGCACCAAATGCATGAAAAGATTGGCAACTGGTGCACTAAAGACCATCTGTACAGCTTCAATAACATAGTGCAAACTTTTTAAGGATTTTTTTTGCAGAGGTGAAGTCTTATTTTAAAGTAACTACGGCTGTAAATTAGTTGAAATAAAAATGAATTGAACTGACTACTGTTAATATTCAGCTTTAACTAGCTATATGTTAAAGATGGAGATGAAGATTTGACTATAATAGTGATCGGACAATTCATTTAAGAAACTTAACAATTTTCATATTAATACTGCCAATAGGGAATACAATAGACTGAAAAGATGACAATATAGTTTGTTAGATAAGTGCTTGTAATGTCATATTTATTGTTATATATTACTCAAATTCTTCTCAAATGTCCTTTTCCACTAATAGTTTTGATTTTATAATAAAAGCTTGATCACATGTTTTTAATATTTAGAATTTTGTGAACTATTTTCTTTTCTTAACAGATGTTAAATTTAGATCACCTCATTTTTTAAATTAAACACATTAACAAATAATATGGTTTTCATGTAGCGTCAATGTAAATTAGGCAAATGACGGTCAGACTCTCAAGGTCATAGAAGACTCACGAGAAAATTTAATAGTAGATAGGTACTTATGTCTAATTATTCGGTCTCCTGAAAATTGGCACCAACGCAACAGGAAATCACGATTGTTTCTAGTGATGAACTGTTACAGACCATTTATAGCGTACCTTCCTATGATTTCCTTTGGCTCGTACTTCGCGTAAAACTCCTTGGCTGCATCTTTATCGGGCAGGTTATCATCGTCCTCTTCCTTCGCCATACCGCTCACGATTGTGGCTGTTATATTTTTTGTTTAATTTCACGCAATTTAACGCCGTACACAATGACGAAAGGTTATTGTTCTGCACCAGACAGATGAAACTTTCGATGATTCGACGCACAATTTATTACATGAGTACACAATACTAATACAATAACAAAATCTATTTGGAATCTTTTGCAAGTGCTATTATTAATTCTAATTAGATAAACCACGATATGATTCTAATTTATACGTAGATCACACAGGAATGAAATTAATTTTCTCAATTAAAGAGAGAAGGAGGGGTAGCTATGAAAGAAAAAGATAGATATATGACAGTTGGTGTCATTTATGTAATTTTTTTTACGATTCTCCCATTTCAGGGAAAGCAAAAAAAACAATGCGCATACAGCCTTGTCTTTAGTTTTATTAATCTCCTTTTTTTTACATTACAATGTCAGTATGACTCATTCTAATGTTTCTTGGAGTGTTTGGCACGAAATGTATCGAATTGGCTTTTTCGATAAGCTTCTGTGAGGTAGTCAACACTACAATAAAGTTCACACGTCCGCTTGACCGAAATAGCGTATATTTTAAAGATAATTAAATACACTGTAATTTTAAGGATCAATTACATGTGAAGTACCAGCACAAAATCAATCTTCAAAGTAGTTTTATGATGTATAATATCTTTGTGGGAGTGATTTCGTGAAATGGGAAGGAAGTGTGTAACAGGAAGTCGCGAAAGCGCGCGCTATTTGATTTAATTTTAGAACATCATGATCGAATGGCTTATTCCTCTTGTAGTAGGTTTTATTTCTTTTTTTACTATTGGTAGCTTTCCAATTACAGCATTATAGCGCATTATGCGGCATGTTTCAACTACAGCAACGCTTCGCACAATCGAGCACTCTCAAAAGTAATGCTTTCGTGTGATGCGTGCAATCGTACCAACTCAGAGACAGAAAATTAACAAGAACAAAAAACATTTCTTTAAGTTGGCATTGATCGAAATGTTTTATTTAGATGTTATCGTTAGTAATATTATATATTGTTGAAAAGTTATTAAAACTTTCGTTTCATTATAGTTTTTAATCTGGAACAACGGAACCAAAGCGCCATTCAGGAAACTACAGCGCCATCTCTTGACCATTGGTGTAGTAGAACCAAAAACCACATCTTTATTTTTTGTAATAAAGTAACAGTTATAGGTATTCATATTTATAATATTTATCCACATGTTTCTAGTTTGTATATTCGGAATACGTGTTTGAGTTTCATACAAGTGCAAATCACATATGTTCTAATAAATTATATTCAGTAGCAATTTTAATTGAATATTTTGATTATTTATTTGTTTTTTCAAATTAAAACTGAACTTTATTGACTGTGTCCTTTTCCAGACTTTATATTAATTTATTGTAATTAATTATTTGCATGCAATTAAAAACTAATTTTAAACGATGCCAAAGAAGGATAACTTCTCACGCGCCTACATAAGTAGACGCACCCATTTTTTTAAAATTATCAAAGTTAATTCAAACTGTGCTAAAAAATTTAATATAAATATGGATGATGATGACTAACATTGACTTTTTTTTTCAACACTGAACTTAGCGCACTCTGCTGGTGCATTTGAATACTAATTCACGTTCCAATTAAGCATCAGCATTATTCGGCATTGTGCGCCACTGAGTCGCATTATGCTTTGTAATTGGAAAACCACCAATATATATTAGTGAGGTTTCAAATGTTACACATCATACGCGACTACTGTAAGGCTCGCTCGTTTTTTCATATCGAATCGGATGCTAAATATCGCTTAGTGTAATACGTCCTTTAACAGCTGATAGTTGTCTATGGCTATAATTTCATTGTCTATGGTATTCAATCTGTATTTCTGTCTCTTTCGCACATCTTACTTTATGTTTTCGATTGTTGTCCGTCTGTTCTAATTGCCCTGCATTTTACAGTATTATGGAAATAATCTGTTATCTCCATTTCTTCCCGTAAACGATTTACGTGGATAAAGTTGTTCAGTATTTGGATAGCGTCACGAATTTCTTCCTGTGGGCTTCTATAACCAGGTAAGTCGATATTACGCATCTTATTTTGTAAGTGACATTAGTGATTGGATTGGTAGGCTAAAGGTACTTGAACATCTTATCAACCTTGAAAATTATAGATAATACAAGTTTTCTTTGTTCTACTTAATATATTTTTGTAGTGAAATAGTTGTCAGCATTAGCAGGTAGTTATCGAACTGTGAAGCCGATATTTTTTTATTTCGTTGTGTGCCTTCTTTCTCGTTGCCCTAATTTTTACATAGAAATTATTTTCTTTGGTTTAACTGTATCTAGAAATATCCTATAAAGAAGTATTTGTTTCCTTTTTCTTGTCTTATTAACTTGCCACTTATCTACCCCCCAAATAATATAGTTGTAGTGTAAATGTATAAAAAAATTGTGTAAAGTGTGTAATAAAATATGTTTTATAAAAAATACATATTTTCAAAATAATATTATTTACATATAAAACAATTTACAGCAGTTTTAGTTTATTGATTGATTTAAAAGAGAATTAAGAATGATTGTGTTTGAATAATTAAAAAATTCATTCTACCCCAAATATATAAAATAAAAAAATCCTAAATAAGTAGGTACTTATCCGAAATTTCTGTTTATTATTTTAGTTATTCAATAAAATTAGTATGAATTATATCAGCAGCATACGGATAACTTCCCTATTAGACATAAAGCTTAAATTGCAACCTGATATAAGACTAAGTAAAAATACATTTTCGTTTGAAAATAACTAAATACTTCTAAAAGTCAATGTCCCAGTGCAGCTTATACTATAATAACTGTTTAGTCATTGCTTTTGTAAGTTGATAAACATCTGCCAACTGTTAAATAGAATGATATCACCAATAAGAATTGAAAATGTACTTATTTAGAAATACAATATTTTAAGTATTTATTGTTTATTATGAAAAGTGTTGCAGTGGCTTTTGTTATTTGACTGAACTATTTGTGTTTTTTTATAAAAGCATGGTTTTATCTTTACAACACTTAATATAATCAATATTGTTATATTGAGTGAACATGCATCGTATTTGGATGTTCAATTGTAACTAAAACAAATAGTGGTCATGCACCACAATTTAAGCAGATCACTTTTGAGCCGCAAGTGCCATATTTTCCCTCTTTGTTTTAATCAAAGGGGTAAATGTTATTATTATCCTGTACGTTATTTTGGTTCATGTATATTATATTTAAGTTGAACTTAAAGTGTTTGAGAAGATTTTTAAATGTAAATATCTACAAATTTCAAAATGAATGTTAGTTGTGAAAGGACCATGCCCATATTAGTATGGAGGTGAAAGTCAGCAATGCCATGCAATGCCCAAATTGCAGCTCTATGTCATACGATAGCTTATTAACAGTATTTTTATGATATCTAGATTTAATGTCATATAAAGCACTGATTGAAAAGTTATTGGACGTTAAATATGATACTGCCTACTGGTATTGTTTATACATTTTATCGTTTACAGACAGCATTGCTATTAGTTTTCCACTAGGAACTTCATAATCATCACATAAGTTAGGCCAAATCAGTGTTCTTTTATATACTTAAATGTCTGTAAACATTTCAGTTATTTAGAATTATCTAGTCTGTCTCCATAGTATCTCCATCAATATAAATGCGAAAAACAATTTGGTTAGATGCAAAACTTAAGTGGGTATTCAAGTAAATAATAATATGTAAATAGACCAGTACCTCAAAACAAACCGGTATTTCTGATGAGATTATAAAAGCACATTGCAATAAAATCGAACAGGTTGTATGTTGTACTATCTTTTCATGTGTTTTTATATTTAATTGACATCAATTAACTGCTTGACTCAAAATACTTAATATAATTGTATACTGTCTGTTATGTATTTAGAATTTTTAGTATGTTGTTTACCTTTTCTTATATTTCAATTCCATTGAATGGGGTAAAATAATATTTTATGACTGACAAAATACCAGTTTGTCTCTGTATTAAAGGTTTATAGTGAAATGATACAAGTTTGGAAAAAAATAAAAAGAAGTATAAGTGTTTATTGATTTATTCTTCAATAACAAGTAATATGTTATCTAAATATGATGCTGGTGCTGTTAAATTGGTTTCATATCTACCCCATCCCAAATACCATATTATGGCCACTGTTACCTACGAGACAGTTACAACAGTATCCTAATATGGCATCTAAACCATTATTACTAGATGGTTGTGCATCAATTAAAATATAGGTGAAATATTTATGCCGACCAACATGGCGCGATTGTATTCGACCCCTCAATAAATAAGGTCTATTTCCTCCAACGGCCGCAACCATTTCTTCAGAGTGTTCCAGCTCGGGACATATTTCTATTTCGTATAAGAATGAGAATCTTGGGCAGCTTGTCGGCTAGCTTGCCGCCAACAATTATGACAAACAGCATAACTATCTCTTCCATTCTGAAAATAATTACCATTGTTAAATAAAACAATATAAAAAAAAAGATAAAACGCACAATCTCCTAAAAAACTAAGTTGAGAAAAAAATACCAACCAAGAAAGCTCTGACGTTTATCTAAGGTCTGATTAAAAAATGCATCAAATGTTTGTCATTTTAAAAACTACTTCCACTGATATAGACAAAATATGTTTTATATGTTATTACCAGTAACCATATTCAATATAAGTAGTAATAGGTGTATAAGGATTCAGATAAATACCTGTATTGATCTAATCCATGAAAAATATTCATAAAATGGTCCATTTTCTTCGAGAGAGTGAAGTCTAGCTTCATTCAAGGAACAGCCACAGCCAGCACAGATATTAGTATGACCTAATATTCTAGGTGTGTTTACATCAGCATTTTGTAACAATACATAACAAGCATGACACAATACATCTTCCATGGGAAGCTGAAAACAAAACAATGGGTGTTAGTAGTTGTCACATACCTTAAGTTAGCTAGTAAGTAGTATATATGTAATCTCACGCGTCCACGATAAGTTAAGACCTGAAGTTCGATTGTATTATTTTTTTTTTTCAGTGAGGTCTCGCATTCAGATTTCAAATTATCGTGCACGCATACTCTACTTAACTGCCCTGCAGATAAGATACTTACATGTTCAATTCTCAGCCAAATAGATAAGATTATTAGCAACTCTTGAGGCAGAGTTGTAACAACATGCCTCTGTATTCGTTGAACGCGTAACCCGCAGTTCAGGCAACGCAACATTTTGTATCACAA